GGAGTCTTACAACAATGGGTTAACAACTACTGGCAACCCTTGGCCTTTTTCTCTAGAAGGTTGCTAGACACCGAATCGAGGTACAGCACATTCGGTAGGGAACTCCTAGCTATGTATTGTGCTGTACGGCATTTCCAACACTACATCGAAGGTCGTGAATTCACTCTTTTCACGGACCATAAACCGCTCACTTTCTCGTTAAGCTCTCCTTCTGACAAGTACTCTCCCCGTGAGTCTCGACAACTGGACTACATTTCGCAGTTTACTTCAGACATTCAACACATCTCTGGAGCAAACAATGTAGTTGCAGACGCTTTATCTCGTATAACTTCCTTGAACAGTTTCCAAGGAATCGACCTTCTTAAACTCGCCGAGCTTCAAAAAGAAGACAGTGATCTTCAGCACGAGTTGTCGTCCACAACACTTAAACTACGCATCAAACAGATGGGAACAGGTAAGGGAACCTTACTTTGTGACACATCTACAGGTAGGGATCGCCCAATCGTGCCGAACCGTTATCGACGCAATGTCTTCAACACATTGCACAAACTTTCGCATCCAGGTGTTCGTGCAACCATCAAGCTTATAGCAGAAAGGTTTTGCTGGCCTGGAATGAATAAAGACGTGAGGGAGTGGGCACGCTACTGTGTAAGCTGCCAAAAATCTAAGGTTATCAGACACAATAAATGTCCCTTAGGCTCGTTTAAAACTCCCGATGCTCGTTTCGACCATGTTCATCTGGATTTGGAAGGACCTTTACCAGATTCAAATGGATACTCTTATCTCTTAACCTGCGTAGACCGTTTCACTCGATGGCCAGAAGCAGTACCTATTAAGGACATCACTGCTGAAACAGTGGCCCGCACCTTCGTCGAACGATGGGTAGCAAACTTCGGTTGCCCTTCAACCATCACTACAGACCGCGGACGTCAGTTTGAATCTGATCTTTTCCGTCGTCTGACCACTCTTTTAGGAATCACTCGATTCCGAACGACCGCCTACCATCCACAAGCAAACGGGTTGGTAGAACGTTTTCACCGACAACTGAAAGCTTCGCTATCAGCTGCAAACGTTTCACAATGGACCGACACTCTTCCACTCGTCTTACTAGGTATCCGCAATGCAGTGATAGCTGACATTGGATACACTGCGGCTCAACTCGTTTATGGAACGACACTTCGACTTCCAGGAGAATTCGTGGATCCTTCATCCTCTTCAATGAACATGGATCTAACCTCCTACACGAACAGGCTTACAAACGCAATGCGTTCAGTTAAACCTGCTTCCACTCGACCTCAATCAACTGATGTTTTCGTTCAACCTGACTTACGATATAGTACACACGTTTTCGTTCGTCGAGACTCGCATCGACGACCATTCGAATCAGCATACGAAGGACCCTTCAAAGTTCTTCAACGTGAATCTAAGTACTATATAGTCGATAAGAACGGAACCAACGATGGCATCAGTATCGATCGCTTAAAAGCAGCGTTTTTAGAAGGAAATCCTATCTACGTGGATTTTCCTTCGGTACAATCGAACGACACGACTCCGACACTTATAATACCTCATCCGACAACCAACACACACGATGATACTTCGACAGTATCCGAAAATAAACTTAAAACGACGCGTTCTGGAAGAAGGGTGAGATTTCCAGAACATTTAAACGACTATTGCACGTAAGGCACTTCTCGACATTTTATATTATTTTTTTAAAAAAAACAATTTTAATATGCTTATATATTTTTATTTCTATAAAAAAACAAAACAAAAAAACAATTTTTTTAACGCTGTTACGTGTTCATGAGTTTATTTTCCATTTCTTTCCGCCGACATTGTGCTTTTACGCACATACGAGTGTATTTCGACATGCACTTACATTTTCTTTTTTCTTTTCCAGGACGGCTGGAAAAGAACGATGACGTTTATGAGGATCCGAAATTTTCATTGTACATTTTCTTTTTTTACTATGTTGTACCTCCGTCCCATATAGTAAGGAAAGACGACCAGACGCTGCTAAATTTAGTAAGCTATCAGAAGAGTGTTTACTAACGACAAACTCGTTGGGTTTAAACTTCTGGCTGGCCACGTCTTAGGGTCATCACTGCCCCACTAGGGGGGGAGTGATCTGTAGCGGTAAATAAATCCCCAAAATAAATAGCACTAAGTTTTCGACATTGGATGCTGACCATATGTTTTAGTGGACTCACCTAGCTGAAGGCGCTCGGTCAGGCATCCGCACCAGATCACGTGTGGTAACGCCGTGCTCAACATCAACCGTAATCGCTAGCCAGATTAGATCAGAGAATTCCGATATATTGGTCATCGCCAAATATACTCTTCCGATCTCCTCGACTCTGTCTTTTGATTTCTCTGGGCGGGAACGAAATATATTAGAAGGTGTTACTGGTAGAAGCGTTGTCAAACACTGAATACCTGTGACATCATCAAGTGGATTTTGGAGATATATTTGTGAAGTAGTTTGTTTGTCAATAACTGTGTGATCTAAGTTCGAACCTCATCACTCCTGACTTCTAGTTTGACTGGGTTGGAAGAAATTGATTATAAAATGTGTTACTTGTAAAGGCGTTGTTAAACTCAGAATAATTGTGGTATGTTTAGAGCTACTTATTTTGGGGACTTGTTTCCCACCACAAGTTTATGGTGCGCTGAAAGTCTACGTTCCATGTAGACATATAAACGTCGAGAATATGTTGTGTTACACAACCCTTTTGGCACGACGAAGCATCCGTTAAAGAATTAGTCCTCAAAAATTTCGTAAATTACAGAAAATTTATATGATATTCCTACGTATATATCACTGCATTCCGTATGTATTATTTTTCTTCCCTGTCCGCCCAACGTGTTCGCTCTTTGACTGCGATTAAATGAGACGATCAGTTAAAAGTAAGAGATCTTGACCCGTAAAGATATTCTCCGAACCACCAGTGAATAGACTACCTCTTTAAAATTACAAGGTAATGAGTTTTTGATGGTATTTTCATTGTGATGTCTAGCTAGCGGAACAATCAGATAAAAGAGATGGTTTACTGAACTCAGTATTATCCGTTACAGAAACTTCTGAATTCAAACTTTATTGCCAATAGGAAGTCAATACCATAATGATGACCTTGGCGATATTTTAGTTTTGTTGTCACTGTTCGCGATGATTTTTATAGTAAAATATAAATAAATTCTACGTGCTGATTGATTTGTTGGTCAGCCTTTCTCTTGTTCTTTTATCGAGCATTTTTCTTACAGTGCTCTGCACAGTCTCGCTAGCGTCTAAAGTACCTTCAACTGAAGGTTAACCTTCCTCGAGCTTTCAATTTTGGGGAAATTTCGGAAAACTTTGGGAAAATCTTGGGGTATTTCGGGGAAAATCCCCAAATTTAAATGACACTGACCAAGTTTAAAGGGTAATTTTCGGGAAATATATTCAATAATTTCCCCAGGTCTGGGGAAATTTTGGGGTTATTGTGCCATTTTCCCTAAATTTCACCAAAATATGCCAAACTTTCCCCAAAATTAGGAGCTCGGGTCGTGACTGCGTTGTGGACCAGTTTCTATGATTTTGCAAGGCTCTCGTGTTTCTTAACATTATAGAATGGCTTAACTGCTTAGTTATATTTTATTCTTCAGTGAGGCGGACAGAGAACTAATTGAGTGTGATCAAGTATAAATAGATCCTAAAAATGCTGTGCAGTATTTTTTATGTGCTCATAGGCGCCTAAAAGTCATTTAGAAGTCGGTAACCACTCTTATATTGATCAGTAACACCAAAGGGTCGTAAGCTAAATCTTTTCAACACAATATTTATATATTATTAATAGTTATCACTTAACCCTGTTCTCATCAAAAAAGTGAAAAGAACAGAGTGACATCTCTAACTGCCTTTTATTCATCGGTCTGGCTATGCTTTAATGGTTCAAATGGTTGTGGACGGAATAGAAGAAGCTTTCGCTTAACAGGCTTCCGTGTCTAGTAGCAGGGGATCACCAAATCCTCCAGGCAGGAACCTAGGTATGTTAACAATAAAAGAGGAAAAGAAATTGGTAAATCATAGTGTGATGCTGTCCTTGGTCCTTAAGAATAGGTCGAGTTGCCTCTTGAAGGACTCCTGAGAAGTCGCTTGGACTAGCTCGGCCGGCAGCGAGTTCCAGCTTTTGACAACTCTTAAGGAGTAGAAGTTGTGTCTACATTCCGTCTTGCTATGTTGTGTTTCCAGCTTTTGGGTGTTACCCCTTAGGTTATTATTCGAACTAAGCTTAAGTAGGTGTTTAAGAGGATGTCCAGAAGTGTTAAGAATACTATAAGCCATTAATAACTCACCTCTAAGACGCCTATACTCTAATGGGTGAAGGTCTAGTGAACGGAGGTGTTCTTCGTAAGGTTTGGATTTGAGTCCTCGAACTGATTTCGTGGCTCGCCGTTGGATACGCTCCAAAGTGACCTTGTCCTTTTGGAGTGAGGGGGGGAGTACTATGTTTCCGTACTCTAAATGGGGACGGATGAAACTATTGAAGATTGTGTGGAAAGTTCTTCCGTCAAACTGGCCAAAAATGCGCCTCAACGTTACCAGTGCAAGGTTTGCTCGGAAGGCATTTTTGTCACAGTTAGCATAAGACTTTAAGTCATGGGGCACCAGGACTCCTAAATCTTTTTCGACTTGGGATACTACTAGAGAGGAGTTTCCTAAGTTGTAACTGTAGTTTGAAACATGTCGCAGATGGACTACTTTACACTTTGAAAAGTTAAAGGTAAGTCCGTTATCGTCTGCCCAACTTTGAAGTCGCGTCAGATCCTCCTGAAGTGCCTGTGTATCGTCTTGGTTGCGTATCTCTCTCCAAAGTTTCACGTCGTGGGCAAAAAGTAATAAGTCTGACGTTATGTAGATCAAGAAGAGAAGAGGCCCTAGTACTGAGCCCTGGGGGACCCCACTAGGACATTCCATAGCCTGAGATAAAGTGAGATTAACCCTAACTTTAAAGTGTCGATTTTTTAGGTATGAAGTAAGCCAGTCGATTAGAGGTGGTTTGATACCTAGTCGTTTGAGCTTGTTGATAAGACACAAGTGGTTAACCTTATCAAAAGCTTTTGAGAAATCAAGGTAAATGACATCAACCTTTCCCTTGCAATCGAGGATGCTTGTCCATCTGTCCACCGCAGTCAGCAGGTTGGTTATACAAGAGTAACCCTTCCTGAAACCACGCTGTTGGGGTGAGAAGAAATTTAAGGACAGTAGGTAGTCGTTTAAACCGTCGCATATCAGGGACTCCATGAGTTTTGAAGGTAATGACAGAAGAGCCACCGGCCGATAACTTGAAGGTTCATTGCGTCGACCACCTTTGAAAATTGGTGTGATGTGAGCCAACTTCCAATTTTCCGGTAATTTGCCTCGGCTAAGCGAGTGTGAAAACATCACGCTAAGCGGCGTTGCCAGGATTGAGGCTGCCTCCCTCAGTATGGCAGGATGAACCATATCCGGGCCAGGAGAAGTGTCAAGTCTTAAGTGCTGCAGTTTCCGGAACACCAAGTCAGCGCTTAGGTCCACTTCAGAAAGTCCTGTGGAATTGCAGATGAAACTGTCGTCAATAAAGTTGATGTCAGCCGGTTGAAATGTTTGAGAGTAATGTGCCGCCAGAAGGTTAGCGGCGTCGCCATCATTGTTGGTCGGGCCGTTAAGACCTAGCAGTTGAGAAACTCCTGTTTTGGCTTGACGAAGAGAGGCTGCGTAACGGAATAGGCTTCTAGGGTTAGAGGCGAATTTGTCCATAAGCTTTGTTTGGTACTGAAGCCTGTCTTCTCTTATAGCCTTCGTGCATATGTTCCTGATATGTTTATATTGCCTATACGCTCCATCGTTATTAGTTCGTTTGTATTCCGCCCAACAGTGTCTTTTGCGGCTTAGCAGGCGAAGGGTACGGTTCTTGATTACTGTAGGTGGCTTGCAGCTTTTGGGAACCGTTTGAGGAACTGAATGGTCTGTAGCACATAAGAGCGTGTGCAGTAAGAAGTCCCAATGACCATCCACATCGAGTTGAGGGTGAACATCCCAAACCACCTGTTGTAGATAGTCATGTAGAGCTGGCACATTCAGCCGTTTAAAATTCCAACGCAAATTATTGTTGGGATACCTTAGCTTAGTTTTGATGACAAAACTGAAGGCTATGACGGCATGATCACTCTTTCCCAGAGGAGCCAGGATTGAGAGGTTGTCGACTAGGAATTCTTCGTTTGTGAATACACAGTCTAAGCGCGATGGTGTCTGACTGTTTCTCCAACGAGTTGCCGACCTCACATTTTCATATAAGTCCAAGTTATCGATGAGGTTGAAGAACCGAGCTTCAGTTGAGTTGTCGCCTCCAGTGTACGTGTGTTCCGCGAAGTTGACTCTAGGGAGATTAAAGTCCCCTAGAATCAGGATGTGTGTAAAACCGAAACGAGTAGAGCGGGATAGCCCTTCCAGCATACGACTATCGTACTCGGTGTCGGCAGTTGGCTTCCTGTAAATGACTCCGACTAGACACATCGAAGTACTAGACAATCTTACAGAGCACCATATGGATTCCTCAAGGTTGTTAAACTCGAGGTTGTGAACCTGGTGCACCTCCAAGCAAGAGCTTATGTATATGGCTACTCCGCCCCCAATTCCTATTTTTCTGTCGTTGCGGAACAAAGAAATCCCAGGTAGTGCTAACTCTTGGTCCGAGAACTGAGAAGATATCCAGGTTTCAGATATTCCTATCAGATGGGCCTTATTAGCGTTGCTAAGTTCACGTAGTTCATCCAGTTTGTTTGGTAGACTCGCGGCGTTCATATATAAGCAGTTTATGCTTTCAATTTGGAACGCGTGAGCTTCGTCCTGTTCGTCTGTATGAGCCTTACGTGAATGGACAGGTAGCCCACCTATATGAGGTTTGCCGAGGTGGTAGGCCCTGTCTTTTACACGTTTTTTTATCGTTTAGACAGTCCACAAGTGGAATGGTCAGCTCCAACTTGCCTTTGTTCTTGGTCCTGACTTCGTATGGCCTATCCGAGTGTATGTGGATTTGACTTATGCCTACAGTGATTCGAGAAGAACATCAAGCCAGGTCTCCCGGTGGTAGACTTGTGGAAACGGCTAAATATTCCTTAATTTTCAAATAAATTTTGATATTATTTCTAGCTTTAGTAGTTAGTCGATAACACACACGTCGACTTCCTAATGATGTTAGGTGATATCAATCAAAGTGGGTAGCACTGACTCAGGTGTGGCAGCTCTCTGAATTTTTTGAAACATGAGGTGTTTTATATTATTAAATTCTTGTTTCGAGGTCTTCATTTGTGGGATATCCCTCGGTTTTAGAGTTTCACTGAGATTACTATTCTTTTTTGTCCTTCGTCAATACTCCTAAAGGCTTCACAGTCCCATGACCTTTCCAAACTGAAGATCAATGTGATTTTCATCTTGAAGGTTTTCTCTCCCGCCTTACTGATGAGGTTTGACAACTTAGACTTTTATGTATTTAAGCCAGGTTCTACGTTACCGTTAACTATATATGAGCAATAACAGTCCACTTTTTTTTTAAATTGTGTTTTCCATTTCACTTTCCCATTTTCTAACAAACGACTTTTTAGTTGCATCATTAAATGACTCGATCCAATTATTATGACGAGATTTCATATTTAATAACACGGATCCATGAATGGTAAGTATACACTTTTTCAGTATACTGTTCATTACAAGGATTTATTAGCAGAGAAAGGCGCATGGAACTGATGAAAGCATATGCTCTAATTCAACATACTGACTCTTCTGGGTAAGTAAAAAGACAAACGTAATGATCTTAGGTTTTTGAGGAACTCATGTCTGAAATATAATTTAAAACATGGAAGATTTGATTATTTGTCAGTGATTCTAACCTTCAAACCATATTCAATAACAGCATCGTTCTAACTAGTGTAAATATTGAGGCTTTTTATTAGGGAATCACAGGAACCCAATTTCCTATTTTCAGGAAATCGCTGTTAAGAAGTTTGGGGAAATGGTAAAAAAAACCCAAAGTTTTGTTAGTTCCTCAATATTTCAGGGGTTTCCTCAAAACCTCATAACACTTTGGGCAAATGTCTATATTCATTGATAAAACCCCAAAATATTGGTTTTTTCCAATATTTTCGACAACTTTGGCGAAACCCATTTACGTTCTGTGATCGAATCCCAATATCTTTTCGCATTTCAGGGACATTTTACATGATATTGAGTTTTCTGCTATACCGTGTTCGGAAAAAACCCACAAGATTATCAACTGTATAGAAATGCCTGTTGATTTAATAACAATTACCCAAAATTTACTACGCATCTATCCATTTTTTTAAAATTAACTTCGCAAAGAAACAAGGCAATTAAACCACAGTCGGTAACAAGAACTCGCCTATGATGATAGATAAGCATTGTTGTTGTTAAAAGAGTAATGGGCTAATGATATGGTTTATTTGAATTTAAAAAGTACAAACGATTGTACATTTACGATTTGCGTCTTTCATTTCTTAATAGTTGTTATTACGCTTCCGTTTGCTATATCAGGTTGATGTTGAAATCTTCTTGAGTGTTCTACAAAAATAGGGAATGGTTACTCTTCTGCAAACGCAGTATGAAAACAACTCGATGGCTAATAGTACACAAACAAATTCCCAATGCTGTGGCAATCATCCAACCTATGAATGCATAATGTCATGTGAGACGTTGATTACGTACCAGTGGTATAACATTAATGTTTGCTGAATTTAAAACTCATAGTTAGGCGTGTGAGCATTTGTGAAACCAGCTGAAAATAAGATGGACAAGAAATTATTAATTCAGTATAAATATTTCAGTCAGTCAGCTACAACGTGCGACCAGACACATATATGTCCCTAAATGCCCTGGAACAGCCGAGATTAGGAAGAGTCAGCTCTCCTTCTCGAAATTTTCTCACGTAGTTTCATGCATACAGCCACTGACAGGAAAGTCCTACTCACTGCCTTCTCGCGATGGAGAGTGTGGTTTACAAAATTGAGAAGACGAAAGGCGAATGTTTGACGCTTTAACCAGGTTGATGGATACGGAGAATCCACTTAGGGGAGTTGTGAAACCGCGATTTCAAACCGATGGTGCACATGGGCTCCAGTATCCTGAAGGAACAATTGGTGTGTGAACAAATTATTGGTCACCCGCTACCATAAAAGAGCATCTCCTTACGTCGCTCCACTGCCTTGTGCATTAGACCTTAGGGTCAAAGGCTCGGGGTGTGGCCTCTTAAGAACACCACCTGCTTCGGTTTGGGTGCCCGATAAGTATCCTATCCCTCACACAGACCGAATGGTTTATGTAGCGCGTATCTGATTTGTGCCTCCTTGTATCGATGCTCACGTGATTAGGTAAGTAATTAAATAAATAATATATCGGTCCAAGCTGTCACACCTCATTAGCACAGCAAGATGGACAGCGGCTTCATAAAGTAGTTAATTCAATGTTGGTAATATATAAAAGAAAGATTGCATATAAGGATATAGTACAGGAAGAAAGAATAAGTTCATAGAAAGAAAGATATGAAGCGATTTAAATCTGATAGTTTAAACGAAGACAGAGAGTGTATACACCTACTCCATGGTGATTGATTCTGTGTCATGTTACCAAGAGTCTCCAACCATTAGTTACGATAGTCACGCGGACCCCAACCAAGTAGTCTGCATCTACCAATATGGTTAAGACTAGAAGTTAGTGATCCCAGCAGATGCGAGCGATATTTCTAAGACAAGTATGATCAAATACTAGTAACTTGCTAGTAACTTCCACTCGTATTGTCCACATCTCACTGCCGTAAAATAGGACAGGACGAGCTGCTTCGCAGTATACTGGTCCCTTAATTGATAGACGGATATCTCGCCCTCGCCAGAGGTGACGTAAGTTGGGAAAAGCCAAACGAGCTTTTCGAATCCGTGCTGAGATTTCGTCAGACACCTTCCTATTAGGGTTGATCGTACTTCCGAGATAAGTGAAGTTGTCAACGCGTTCGACTACTTCACTCCCTATCCTTAGTTCAGGTGTTGACGCAGGCCAGTCTTTAGGCAACAACTTGTATTTAGAGAGAGAGAAGCGTATCCCAAACATCCTGGCATTGTCGCTCAGTGCTATCAAAAGACTCTGTGTTTTATCAGTATCTTCACCAAAAAGGACTTCATCATCTGCGTATTCTAAGTTGATAAGTAGACCTCCATGTAGGAGATCAATTCCTGAAAATTCGGACGACGAGAACGTTATTTCCATCAGTAGGTCTATTATGGAATTCAATAGAAGTGAAGATAGTGAACAGTCTTGTCGGACACCAATTGATGTTGAAAAACCAAATGACAATTCGCCATAAGCTCTGACTCGAGTGGTAGTGATCGAGTAAAGAGCCCTCCCAGGGTTTATTTACTTGTGAGGTACACTTTTCAATGACAGACACTGCCACAGAACCTCTCGGTTCACAGAGTGAAATGCTGCTTTTAAGTCAAGAAAGGCCACCATTGTCGTGCACGATAAGCATATCTGTGTTCTAAAATCTGAAGAATGGTGAATATGTAGCCGACACAGCCACGACCAAGTCTGAAGCCAGTCTGGTTCTCTCGTGTTTACAGTTCACGAGTCTTTTTTAGATGCCCGATAACCATCGACGTTAGTATTTTAGACATTATATTAGTCAAATGAATCCCTCTTTGATTGTCACAGGATGATTATGATCCTTTCTTTAATACTGATCATGTAATCATAACCTACATGTTTTGTTTATTTGATAGATTATCACTTCTATCCACCTTATATTTACTTTCTGTTAATGAATTTTAGTAGACATAAAACACCGTTTTTATATTTTTTCTGTTGATATGGAGAAGTCTCCTTCGGCTTTCTCAAATCATCTGGAACTTTCATTCTAAATTCGATCAACAAGATTGAATCAGTAACTGATGTTAGTAATAAAGACTTACGATTTTTTTTTAATATTTACACTGGAAATTTACAGGAAGAATTCACTTTCAAGCAAAATGATTCAATATAACATAAATTTGAAAAGAATAGATGAAAACATAAGAAAAGTGGAAAGAAGACATGAAGTTCTGAAATGTCAGTTCGAAAAAATTAAACAAAATGCTAAAGAAGAATCAATGTTGGATGTGAATAAAATGTTGAATCATTCGTTTAATAACCAAGAAGTTAGTTTGATTTGTCATATATTTGTCGTATATTTATTGTTTGTTAGCACTTATCATTTACAATAACACCTTCATTGTCAAACTTAGATAACGAAAACATCATCATTAAGAGACCAATGAAAAGCATTTTTTAAAATTACAATCTAATATGACAGTAAAACAGAAATTTGTTAACAGATATCATGATAAAGTTCACTCTGAATGTTGTAAGAACAACTTAAGAATATCAAACTTCTAGACATTATTTTTCCTACGAAATATTTATCATACAGTAGATTAGATAAGCGATTGATACTTTAGAGTGCAAGGATTTCAGTAGAAATATAAATGTTCGTAGATAATTCTACTGGAAGAGCAGTGGTTAGTTTTCGGTAGGAAATATGAATGTGCTGTCAGTTTATTTCTAAATTATCTATAAATAAAGTCAATCAAATGATATTTAACTATCAATTTTTATTAAAGATTAATGTAACGTATTCATACGCAATAATTTGACTGTTCGATAGAGAGTCAAGTATAAGTTAGAAGAAGAGTTCAATAACAGTGTGGTGGACCAGACAATATACGAACTCAAAAAGTAATGACAGAGTTATTAAGGACAAATAGTAATGTTAATACATATAAGTTAAATGTTATAAACACAATAGAAATGAGGGACGTTACTTAGTTCACCAGGTTAGTGCGTGTTCTGATTTGATCTGGTACCAAATATCCACAATTATAGATGGTTGGTAATTCCAGTAAGTTTGATGAACTCCCCAGTGATATGATCCAATGTAGGATATGATATATTCCAATTACAGTCTATAAATGTAGATAGTATTTGATTTAGACTTCGATTAACACAATCACAAGTGAATGTAGAACGAGAGGTATGTACGCAACAATGTATTTGCTAGCAGTCAACAGTGTGTCATTCTATGAAGTTACACAACGGAAAGTGTGTTCAAGGTCATACACTTAAAAAGCACATACAATCATTTAATGATAAATGTACATACAGTGAAAAATTGACAAAATAAATACAAATAACATCAAAAACTATTTACAAAATAAACTTGTCAGGCATATCTCCACAACAGAAGATACAAAAGATTAGATCGACACATGACAAAATAAATCGTTAATTATATATGATGCAATGAACATACCTTTCTGTATTCCTTGACGGATCACAGATCACTTCAGTTAAGTATGTCAAGTAGAACTAAGTTTCAGAAGACATGTTTATTTTACATGAAACTAGTCATTTAAATTTGTCTGGATTCTAAATTTATTATTTCTCTTAAGATTCAGACGAAGCATTAGTCACTTTGGATACTCAAAAGTTTCGAATACATTCAACTCACTTTCGACACTAGAAATTATATAAACCTCCTATTTTTTGTTAGTTAGCAAAGAATAATGTTATATCTGTCATAATTCAGTAGTTTAATAAATAGTGCTTCGTAGATTGAATCAACATGCTATTAGTTTTAACTTCCTTGGATAAATCATCAATATTAAGATTCGAGTACCTTCTAGTTAAGAAGTTTGAATTATAATTCATAGTGCACTTCTAATGCCTATTGAAAATGTTATCTATATGCACATATACATTGTGATGGACTAAAAATAATAATAAAGTTGTTATGTCGAAAAAGTAATGTATTACTACGTTAAATAATATTGGTTAGCGCTTTTTTTAGTGAGTTAGTTTTCTACGGGATGTGATAGCTAACTCCATGCCTAACTTTCCTCCTTTATCCGGGCTTGGGGCCTGCAGTAGCTCCAGAAGAGCTCCAAGCGGAGTATATAAAAACTAGTAATATAAAACTAGAAAAAATTACTGGTGTTTATTTAAATCGTCAGGACTTGGAGTGTTTGTGTTGCATTTGGTATAATAATCCACAATTATCAGTAATCAATAATTCCAGCTGCACATCCAGATCAAGTATATAATGGAAATATTTATATGATCTGTAAATTTAGATAATAAATACATTAGAGTTTAGTTATCATAACAACGAAAAATTGAGAACGAGATACATATATGTGTAGCGGTGTATTTGCGATCGGTTATTAATGTGTCATGCTATGAGGGAGGTGGCATTCAAAACGAAAGAGGAAGCATTCATGTTTATGAGATTTTAGCCAATTATTTTACAGTTACTTATAGTAAATGTACAAATTATGAGAATTAATGGATGAAATGCAGATAGTATCATAAACTAATTACACGATAAGTTTGTCATGACTATTTCTATAACATTACAGTATTTATTTAAATATTCAATACATTCCAATAGAGATTAATCTATTCTACGTTAAAAATTGATTAAAAACTAACAAACAAGTACAGAAATACATAAATAAACTTTAAGTGTTATGCTTATGAAGTTCATTTGTTTCTCAAGTTTAAGTCAAAATAACAAGAAAATGTGCCATATTAAACAAGATACTTTTTAGAAATGATTAAAGACAATTGAACAAAGAAAATTTACCACAAATTGAAATCATGAGTCGATTGAAGCTAGACCACCATGGAAAACGTGGAAGCACTGGACGGCCGTTTCGTCCTAGTATGGGACTCCCCAGCAGTGCACAACCACGAACCCGCATCCCGCAACATTCGAACTCAAGACCTATCAGTCTCGGGCCAGGCGCTTAACTAAGTAGACCACTTAGCCGGCCGGCATCCAATGGTGTAAATGTCTAACTCCAACCAATCCACGAGACTGATAGGTCCTGGGTTCGAATCTCGCGGGATGCGCGATCGTGGATGCACACTGCTGAGAAGTCCCATACTATGACGAAACGGCCGTCCATTGCTTTCAGGTTTTTCATGGTGGTCTAGATTCAATTACCTCATGATTTCAATCTGTGAAATTTCTAAAATCTCCACAAACCCCTTCTGTAAAGAAAACTTACTTTATGATTATAACATTTACCCAAGTTGTATAATTGTATTTATAGTTAATTAGCAAATAAAGTAGTCTGTTGAAACAATGGACGATAGAATGTAATCCGTTTTAAGTAGGTTGGCTCTCCACAGTTTGATATGAAAGAGATATTGATGAATATGTTTGTAGATCATATGCCATAGATGACAGAACAAATGATCTGAAGTTCATCTACTATACGAAAGGCAGATAACAGAGTCTAACCGAATAGAAAAAATATTGAATGGCTACACTTCGTGATGTGACATCATTACCCAAGTAGTCAAGATTTGAATTAACTAATAAAAGTTATACGCGATAGTCTAACCAGTAAACGAGATACAATGGAATGGACACAATCTTTATATATGAGAGAGGTGAATGAAGATTGTTCACTTGATCAATATAAAGAGATAAAACAGAAAAGAATCAGTAAGTATTTGAAATAAAAAGAGGGGATGGGATCATGTGTATTGAGGAATTGGACTTGCCACTTTTAAAAAGTATTGGTCTAGAGAACTACTAGAGCATCTACTGTGCGTAGGTTACTGAACCGTATTTACTTCGCACTAGTTTGATTTCCATTATTTATCTTTTGAAAGTCAGGCTGATCGTTACTTCAGATTGAATTTGTAAAGATCATCTAACGCCATTATTGACAATTTTCACTGCTCACATATCTAGTGTATAGTTGTCAAGCTATGTCAAACATTAATTGAAACTAGTGAAAACTGACCCAGTAGTTTTAATGATCAAGCGTTTTTCGCGACACCTGTTTGTTCTGAGTTCTATCCCTGGTCAGGATCGTGTAGAATCTAATACGAGAATGAATCAGATATCCAGTGCTCCCTACTCTTCAATGTTATCTCAACTGAGATCAATCTGTGACGAATACAATAGACAAATTAAACCAATTTTTATGAAACCTCTGAAGATAAAAAACAGTTTTCCGTTTTTTTATCAGCTTCAACAGGTAATTAAAAGAACAAAACAAATTTTAGATGCACAAGAAATAACGTTGAAATCTATATCATTTAACAACAACGATGACGATGAATATGATAGTGTTGATAACAACATAAAACATGAAGAATCATACAAATTATCGTTTATTAACCAAACCAGGATCGAAACACCACAGAAAGATGGTGATTATAACAAGGAAGAAAATGACAAAGAGCTAGGGGAAGATGAAGAGGAGAAAGAATTGGGACAAAAAAGGCAAATCAGGGAGATAACAGATGGTGTTGAATCGTCGAATCAAGTTGTCCATAAAATTAGATCTCCAATATTTTCGGAAGATCCAAATTATTCATCTGATGATTTTTATAAACAATCTAGATTGTTTGATTCAAATATTTTATTGAACAATCATAGTAATGACGTGAAATCTAACGAGAATAATAATTCGCAACATATGGTCATAGAAGAAGGAGAAGAGAAAGAAGGCGAAGAAGAGGAAGATGATGATACTCAAGAAACAGAAGATGAAGACAATGTAGAATTAAAATGTGAAAATGTTTATTCAACAGATCTAAATAAAAAGGGAATAATTCAAAAAGGTAATGTATAACTATTGACGGATGAATTCGTTATTATTATTATCTTTGATTTTAAACCTAGACGATATTTGGAATATTGATTGTTTAACCAGTTAAGGAATACGATTAATTGTTTATTATTTCAGTTAGTTTCTTTTCTATTTACATGGATGCTGAACTTATGTGTAGATTAAATGATAGTTAAACTGTTTGATAAAGCAACAGTTGAAGAATTGATTTAGATATAAATCCGACTATAATGTTTACAGCTAGATGACAACCTATCGAAGCTTGAGTGTTGAACTCCTTAAGGTTGTTCTGTTTCATTAAGATTGGAACAATCAACTTAAGACTAGGCTCAAGTTTGTATCGGTTCCAATTCTTATACTTCACATCAGTAAATCTATAAAGAAGCATAAGAATGGAGCAGTATTAAATACAATAAAAATCACAATATATGAATTATGTTTAACGATCAAAAAGTCAAATTGGATAATGGAAATTTTGTGAACTCACCAAACTCATTTTAAACAAGGTAGAAAAAACGAATATAAATGCACTACTAAGATCAATTTTGGGACATTTCACCTATTCTCTCCAATTGGGGATTATAAATATTGTTCCGATTCTAACACAAAAATCCCCAACTATTGATACTTACTCAGTATAACATGAACATGTTCATTGATGCTGTTTTTATTGGGTCACTCTTGAAGGTTTTTCAGTCTGCTCATATGATAGTCATCAAATGTATAGGTAGGTGATAACTAGTCAAGCACAACAAATGTTACAACCATCTTTCTTAAAGAATGTTGATAGGCCCATCAATCGTTTACTATTCTAAGTAATGTCCTAGATATAAACTCAGCATTACTTTAACAGACAAGAACGGTACTTTAGTAACACAAATAATCAAATACTTCCCACCTAGATAGGAGAAAAGAACACTTGATTATATAATCATTTATGAAACACTAGTATACTTGTGGTTTACGCGAAGACCAAGCTCAAATAATAATGACTAATTTGAAATCGAACCTTAGTTGGTTATTAGGTATTGGGTCTTAATAGTCATTAGTAAACCTGGATCGACAGCCTAATAACCCCTGTAATTAAATCCTGAATTGAATAGAATGACCACTTCGATCACATATTCCCGTTTTCTACAAAAAATGCAATACCGTTGTATCTTTCCTATTTCAAACCAGAATTCTACTTAATGGTAGGTGAACCATTTTTGTATCATACCACAAATCGGCTTAATAATAAAGTTAGACAATCATGAATTGAAGAAGCGGACAGGTGAAACAGCTTTAGATGAATCCACTACCTAGTAAGCCATCATTCCGAATGCTGTTCCACTTGATTCTAGTGAGAGGAGAAAACTGTCAGAATAATAGGGCATATATATTGATAGACAACGAGGAACTTCTTTGCATTATTATTACCATTAGGATTATTAATGATTATTACTGTTATTTCTATTGTTCCAATCACTCTCTTATTTATGCTTAATACTGTGTTATAATGTGCAAGTATTCCTATCTTAATGAATTGATCTGGAACTATAGATTAACATGTGATAAGTCATTCTATAATATTGCACATGAAATTATTGTTCAAGCAGACAAATATATTGTGTATCATACTTCTATACTTGATGATGATTTCCTTATCACTTTGTTAATTCAAATACTTTGCTTGAGTTAACAATACACTAAAACAACCGGAAGAATTTACATTTTATCAATTAGATATTTAAGTAGTTTGAATGGTGTTTTTTCTATCCATCTAGTTTTATGTGTATAAATATGTGAATATTTAACATTGATTACTCTGCTATTTTAACTATTCACTTATCTCTTCTCACAATTAATACACATGAAAATGAACTACCTTTACCATATTTAATTCTAATTCAAAACTTCAGTTATTAGTTTTAACTGATTTCATGAATATTGATGAAAATTCACAAGTATTATAGTTGGTGAAGATTTAGAGTAAAAATGTAGGAAAATCATGAAGAATTTAGGCATCATAACAACGTAATTATTAAATAAGTGAACTACTGTTCTGGAAACATTATGTCTTCTCAAAATAGTCTCCATTTGTGACAATACAATTCATTAACACTATTCAAAGCATCTATTCACATTAATATAGAATAGAATAAATGTGGCCAGTAGTGGAATTTAGTATACTCGTTTCGTCCCGTTTAAAACTCGTCAACTAGATATACTTGCATCCTAGAGTTAATGTTCACTGATGGACCAGGACACAGTAACATTTGCTTAAAACACCACCGCGTTATAACTTAGCTACTGAATTCAGAAAGCGAATTACTTTTGAAGTGGGTATGAGATCTTAATTCTATTTGAAATAGTTTAAATTACCTCGTTGTTGATATTTTTAACTGAAATTTGATCAGTCTGGGTTGGTATAGATGCATTCTGTGTGGATCGCTATGGTATAACCATTATGACACAAATTGATATAGAACAGATGGAATGCGGATAGCGGTGGGATGCAGGGATCACATTTCTTGCTATTTCGGACTCGTTATCTATATCCCAAAGAGGACGCGCACTCCGGGATATTTAATTTACTCCATATCCACTTGTATCATAATTGTTATATTGGAGCAACAGGGAAAGAAAGCATATCTGCCAACCCAGACTGATCAAATTTCAATCAAAAATATCAACAGTAGGATATTCCATACTGTGTCAAATGGAATCTGTTTGCATTGTTTGAACTATTTACCTGTAAGTCCAAAGTTGATTGTTTTAATCTTTAATTCCTTTTAATACTACTATATATTCAGGTAAATATAATGTTAGCTGCAAATTGAGAAATCTACTCAATCATCTCATACTGATAATTTTTATCTTCTAATATTACGTGATTTTATATGGGTCTAATCTAATGCGATTTCCTTACTGACTACATCCAAGCACCTGAAAATTTCAGCATGGTCTAGTCGATTCAATTAGACTAGTAGCCCCTGTGCAATTAACTAGCACAGAAATTAAGTTAAATGCTTTTGCTTTAGATAACATCTAACCACTCGACAATATGTAAGTAATTTATAATATAAACTATTAATTATTAAAGAAACATTGAAAATAGTGAAGTATTGGATATCTGTTTAAATCTAATTCGAGATTAATAGACTAAAGACCATATACTCTCACTTCCATTACAACCATCATTATTACATAAAATAAGCACTTATAAATATGCTGAAATATTTCACAAATTCATTTTATTGAAAAGAAAAATACTCATTATACATTTTTTTTACTCTTTGAGTATAAATATTCAAATTTTCAGGCTTTTTTTCCCCATTGCACTGAATAATTACAGATAAGAAGAATGCATAGCTAAGTTTAAGTTAGTGACTAGTTATTCAACAAGAAAACCCAATAATTTAATCGTCAGCAATGTAAAACCTAGTACATACGTGAATCAGTACAAGTTACTATGCGGTGTTAATATAATCAGATAAACTTATTCATACAAATACTTAAATACTTACTTACTTACGCCTCTTACTCCTCGTGAAGGAGTATAGACCTCTCACCAGCATTCTCCATCCAACCCTGTTCTGAGCAATCCTTTCTAGCTCCTTCCAGTTGTTATTCATCCTTTTCATATCTGCTTCTATTTTCTGACGTAATGTGTTCTTTGGCCTTCCTCTTTTCCGCCTTCCTTCAGGATTCCAAGTTAGGGCTTACCTCGTGATGCAGTTTGATGATTTGCATAGTGTATGTCCTATCCATTTCCATCGTCGTTTCCTAATTTCTTGTTCAGCTGGAAGCTGGTTTGTTCTCTCCCACAAAAGGCTGTTGCTGATGGTATCCGGCCAATGGATGTTGAGTATCTTGAGTAGACAGCTATTTATAAATACTTGTACTTTCTTGATGGTGGTTGTTGTAGTTCTCCAAGTTTCAGCTCCATACAGTAGAACTGCCTTGACGTTGGTATTGAAGATCTTCACTTTGATATTGGTGGAAAGTTGTTTTGAGTTCCATATGTTCTTCGACTGTAGGAATGCGACCCTTGCTTTGCCGATTCTCGCCTTTTCGTCTGCATCTGAACCTGCTTGTTCATCGATGATGCTTCCCATGCATGTGCATCTTCCAGAGTTTCGCCATCAAGAGTGATTGGACTGCTGTCCTCCGTTTTGAATTTGAGGACCTTTGTTTTCTCCTTGTGTATGTTGAGGCCTACTAATGCAGAGAGTGTAGAAAACTAACTCGCTAAAAAAACGCTAACCAGAAAAATAATTCAACAAATGCTTAAATGGTATAGAATTATGAATAATATCAGTGGAAGTAGAAAACATTAAGCTTAAATGATATGATTCGAGAAGAAAAAAACAATAAATTTTCAGAAAAAAAAGTGTATTAAGATAATTTCCAAGTCAGAATAATCTAATCTACACGTGACTAAATCCACAGTCTTCAGGTCATATGATAATCATACAAACATTACAAGACCAAAAAAGCGTATGGTTGATTAGTTATCAATTTGTAGTCATCGTTACTGATGATTTGTATAACCCAATATAAATGCTTTTATTTTATAAACTTATTTATAGGTATATCTTGGTGTATTCATGAATTGTGACACCTTATAGCAGCACATTAAGCTAATCCTTGTTTATGCGGCAATATTAAAGTTTAAATATTTTCATTGATAACATGATCCGATCAGTGTTAGACCACCATTGAAAATCTGGAAGCACTGGACAGCCGTTTGGTTCTGATATAGGATAGCACAAAAGTAAGTATTACAATCCTGTATGGCAGAATCGAACCCAGCTCTTTGGTCTCGCACGCGAACCCTTAATCTCTAGACCACTGAGTTGGCTTCCACTGGAGTGAGGCACACATTTCGTTGTGCTAGGGACTCGTTAGCTGGATTTATTTGCATCCCAGAGTTGATGATCACTCCGAGACTGCAACTCACGCCGTTTGCTTCAAATGCCATCGCGTTATTCACTTAGCTGCTGGTACATCCGGCTGATGACTCCCAAATAGAACAAATTGAGCGCCCTGGATTTCACAGTTAGGCACCATCCATCTCTGCTTAAAATTGCTTGTGACTTAATGATAATATCAAAGCGATCCACACAGGGTGCACATATACCAAAGGAGACTAATTGAATACAATTTTAAGCAACAACGGAAAGATTCAAACAACCAATATATTTGAAGTAAACAAATAGTTTTTCATTAAATCACTCTACTTATTTCATATTTTTACTAATTAACTTTACGATGGTTTAGGTCAAACTTATGAAGCATTTTTAGCAAAAGCAACATTCAGCATTGAAGATTCAACTTATGATCCAGTTAATGAGTCCAATGAACATGAATCTGAATATGATTCAAAAATATTAAAAAATAATGTAAATATAAATGAAGATATGAGAGCATCAAATAAGTTATTTGGTATGTTTATTTACATAAATAGAAGTTTACATTATAATTTAAATTGTCCATTTTATTGTAGTAGTATAAGTTTATGCAAAAATTCATCAATAAAGGCATCATTATAAAAGAGTAATAAAATAGTTTATTTTATAATTAGTTTAGAATGTTAAGTGAAATTACATAGAGAACTATTTAAACCAAATACAAATCAAAATGTTTTACACAGATATTTCGTCTTGACTCTGAGTCAGTCAGTCAGCTACAACATACGACCACGCACATATATGCATAGGATCAAGTTGCCATACCTCATCAGCAAAACAACATGAACAAAAAATTCATAGAAGTAAATAATTCAATGGTGGTAATATATAAAAGAACGATGGCATATAAGGATATAATACAGGAAGAAAGAATTAGTTCATAGAAAGGAAGATATGAAGCGATTAAAATCTGATAGTTTAAACGAAGACAGAGAGTGTATACACCTACGTCATTGTGATCGATTCTGTGTCATGTCAGCCAGAGTCTCCAACCATTAGTTACAATAGTCATGCGGACTCTGAAATTATTCACTGACGCTAGTTCTTGATATCAAAAGACTAATTACTATTAGAATACGCTTCCATAAAATTAATTTAATCGAAAATTGCAATAAAGTTAGTGTCGTATAGTAATGTAATAATTTCTCATTTAATTAAGGTAATAATGTTAGATGATTCAGTATTTGTAAGAGAAAGGATGAAGTTTGGAATAGAGAGCTCAAAGATAGAAGTAATATTGTTCCAGTTTGTATTCAAATGAATAAAATCGATAGTATAAAGTTCGAATGTTAACAAGTTTGAGTCTAGAATAGAAGTAAGTGATTGTGAAGAGAAGTTTGTGTATTTTTATGAAGGAATATGGAATAGTGAAGAACAACAGAAAATATAAATTGATGACTTAATATAATTACATAGAATGAACTTAAATTTAATGATCAAAAGCAATCGAACCTATTTGGCAATGTATATACGTGAACTCAAGATAATCTAGCAACTGAAACTGAAAATTGAGGATGGTAAATTTTCAAACAGATTACAGTGGAATTAATTCCTTTTTCTTAGAATAATGTTTGACTATAGATATCTAAGTTTTTAATACAGACAAAGGTAACCGGTGTTGGAGATGGTTGGGAGAAAGTTAGGGGCGGTCAAACCAAAACGTGGTATCAGTGCTTGATGTCAATAACTTCTAGTCTGAGCCATGTTGTTAGATGCAGACTACTTGGTTGGGGTCCGCGTGACTGTCGTAATCAATGGTTGGAGACTCTGGCTGACATGACACAGAATCGATCACAATGACGTAGGTGTATACACTCTCTGTCTTCGTTTAAACTATGAGATTTAAATCGCTTCATATCTTTCTTTCTATGAACTAATTCTTTCTTCCTGTATTGTATCCTTATATGCGATCTCTCTTTTATATATTACAACCTCTGAATTAACTACTTCTATGAATTTTTTGTTCATGTTGTTTTGCTGATAAGGTAAGGCAAGTTGGACTTATGCATATATGTGGCTGGTCGTACGTTGTAGCTGACTGACTGAATACAGACTAAAATCGGCTACGGGAACTATCGAAAAACGTGGAATTAATTGATTGGTTTTCCATTCTAGATAGAAACTGTCTTATATTTAACCTCTTACGTAATAAAACTTATCTTTGTCGGCCGGCAGATACTCATGTGAACGTTCAATAATTCAGAAGTAATTCAATACTAAGTATTTTCGATACTGTAATATAACTTGACACGTTGAGGCTTATGTACACTACTTGGGTGTGCAGGTCAATTGTTCAAAGAGAAACAGGCTCATTACAGTTTGGAACTCGAAATTATTTGCTGAAAGTAGATTATTTTAATCACGACGCCAGTGTATTAATGATAGTAATAAGCCATTTATTAAGTCAAGGGTAATGTGCTAGACTTTAAAATATGCATTTTGAAATAACGCTACTGAATACACAGGACAATAAGTCTCCGTTTAGTCGTTGTAAAATGTAAACAAATGAACTTGTAACACTAGTTAGATGTCAAAATTTTCGATATGAACCTGGAGATTCTATGTTGACTATTTCTTATGGTGTTAAATGTGAAAATTACTGGAAATTCGTAAAGCTATTAGTAGAGAAATTTTTCTCAACTATATATGCTTGTAGTTAGGTACTATTATAGTTAATATGGATTTATAAAAAACCAAAATATGGTGGTGTTATTAACATGGAATGTTTGTTGATAATCTTTAGTTTGACGATAGATTGTATCAACTTCCTCAAACTTTCAATGCTAATGAATGCCTTATACTCACCGATAACTAACTTCGAAGAAAATTCATAAGGCCTTAATACGAAGCCGCAACCGGGTGGAATTCAGCTATTTCGGGAGTCATATAGTTATCACTGATGATAAACACTAGTACACAACCGTAGCTTCTATGGTGGTTTAGTTTGCCTATCGTAGTGACCAAATCAAATTATGGTGACTGGAATACTCTTTCTTTTAGGTCCTAAAATACTGGCCAGGTCTGCTGGAAGATAGTTAGACTGAGGAGTAAAACTTAAGGTTCGAGAGAAAAGTTGTACTTTAATTTCTAGTAAGATGTGACTTCAGTAAAGCTGATTTAGTGGTCTAAAAATAATGTGCTCACTGCAAACGTTTTGGATTGATGAGGAAAAAAACAATGGTCCAATGCTTTGTGATTTTCAAGGAATGTCTGTCTAAAGTGTGTTTATAAAGTGTAGACTAATTGTTAAGGATGATTATTTCGGTACTAATTATTGGTCTTAGCGTTTTTGGTTAGCGACAGACTCGTTCGAAGTAAAGAATGGTGTCAGGCAAGGTTGCTTACTCTCACCCTTTCTCTTTCTCTTGGTAATCGATTGCATCATGAAGACGTCAATATCTGAAGGGAAGCACGGGATACAGAGGACAGCTAGGATGCAGTTGGACGATCTAGACTTCGCAGATGATCTGGCCCTCCTATCAACGACCAGTGTAGCAACAGCCTCAGAAGCAGTAGGTCTCAATATACACAAAGGGAAAAGCAAGATTCTCCGATACAACACAGCATACACCAATCCAATCACAATTGACAGAGATTTGGAAGATTTAAATCCTTTACATATTTGGGCAGCATCATTGAACACGGTAGATCTGATGCAGATGTGAAGGTGCGGATCGGCAAATCAAGAGCAGCGTATCTACAACGGAAGAACATCTGAACTCAAAACAACTGTCAATCAACACCAAAGTCAGAATTTTCAATACAAATGTCAAGACAGTTGTGCTGTATGGGGCGGGAACCTGGAGAACTACGAAAGCAATCATCCAGAAAATACAAGTTTCTATTAACAGTTGTCTACGCAAAATACTTCGGATCCGTTGGCCGGACACTACTAGCAACAACCTACCGTGGGAGGGAACAAACCAGATCCCAGTGGAGGAAGAAATCAGGAAGAAGCACTGGAAGTGGATAAAAAACAAAATGAGAAAATAAACCCAACTGCGTTACAGGGTAATCCCTCACTTGGAATCCTCAAGGCCAAAGGAAAAGAGGAAGACCAAAGAACACATTACTCCGAGAAACGGAGACAGACATGAAAAGAATGAACGATATTGTATAGAATTAGAAAGGAAGGCCCAGGATAGAGTGAGTTGGAGAATGCTGGTCGGCGGCCTACGCTCGATTGTGAGTAACAGGCGTAAGTAAGGAATTATTTGTCTTCTCAGAAGTTTGCTTTTCAGTAAACTGTGTGGTTTTTTAGGCTATTTTAAATACTGTTTTTTTTAAAAAAAACGGAAAAGATAATCAATCACTTTATTCTTCAATTTTAGATTCAACAAATGCTAATCTACTTTCATCATGGACAACATATAAAACAGAAGACTTAGAGGATGACAGTTTCTATGATTGACAAATAAAAATGTCTATATAATACATTTCTTCTTTGTTGGGATAATGATGATAATATTAGTGAAATAACGCTCATATTTCTCAGTACACAGACACTAAATTGCTTGGGATGGGCAATGAATTATTTGTTTGCGTATATAATTCACTCGCTCTATACTACATACCTATTCATCACTATTCTTCTACAAGGCCTCAAAATAACTCAAGTTAAGAACATGCGATCCACCTGACTAGTACGTGTATTGTTTAGTAATTATCAACCTACAATGCAGTAAGTACACGGGTAGGGAAATACATAAGACATATCAATTACTTATCAGACTATCAACCAATCGGCCTACGACAACAATCAATCACTATTTTCTTTCGATCAGACAACAATCAGTGTGCGTGAAATTCTTATCTCATGTCACAATGTTTAGTGAAAAGTAAATTATATTGTAAATGAACAGATCAATACAATTCCAGATCCTAAAAAAATTTATTACCGGAGTCGATCCATTCCTTATGTGTATAGATCTGCTTACTTATTTTAGATTAAGAAGAATTTTAATTGATCATCTAGCTTTATCGTTAACAAATGACATGATATTTACGAGTTTTGTTGTACAATAATGAATATATGATTCATGAACATGAGAACATTTCTGTTGATAATTAAATCACCGGAAGTTTTTTTTCTTCAATTTTAAGCATCAAGAAAAAAGAAAGTCAACTAGGTAAGTGTAAATTAACTTGTTACTTGTAGAAACAGTATAAAGTTTATTAAAGTGGCTGACCACTCTGAAGTAAAGCAATAATGGTGATGTGCTTTATATATAAACTTGTGAAAAGTGAGTACTCGAGGGAATATTGCAAGCAAACATGACCATGAAAGTTGGCAATAGAGAAAGTTCAAATGGTTAACAAAAATTCACTACATATGCATCTGATATTCAAGGATCTAGCAAAATGTTATTAATGAGTTTGCGCAGAACAAATCAAATAATGTTCAATTCAGAAAAAGCTACAACTAATGTTTTTTACTCATCGGATAGCCGCACCGATACTGGCGGATAAACTAATTTCAACTGATCTGTGGAGAAAGTTACGTTGATAGATGTTTTAAGAATTTAATTTTTCGTATTTGCAAACACTTTCAACAGTGACCAAGCAAAGGCGTAATTATAACGATCAAAAGTTCCCTCCTATTCCATCTAATTAAAATGGGTCACAGCGTGAATTATTCTTTTATTAATTACATGCCAAAATCTACCAATTGGCAGAAACATCAATGAAAAAGGCTGAAACACCGGAGAATTGAATACAGAAGAAATTTCTCTTACTGTGGCCAAACCTAGGCACAATAATTCACTAGTCAACTAAACTATACTTTGAACAAAGTATACAGAAACTACCCCTCTACATTTTTGTAACTTTAGTTTAACCTAATGGAATATAATTGCTATTTTATTATTACAGATCCTGTGGAGAGTATAATTAGTACTCATTTAACTTTACCATCCGTTACCAAAATTTCTGTCATTTCATACATTACATAGAATTCGACCATATATCTGATTTTTAATTACATTATTGTTTCTCTCTCCCTATTTTACTAATGCTTAACATTATATCTTAAAATACAATAGAAATGTTTATTATTATTTACAACTCAGAAATCAAGAATAAATTTGTGTAATAGATGTTTAATACACAATTAATGCTTGAAAACTACTAAAATAATATTTGGAAAGCGCTCTCCGATATCTTATCATCATTTTGATCTTATTATACGTTTCCATATTGACTATTATTCACCTCACTCTAGTATTCGACTAGAATCAAAGTTGCATTTTACTATTTCGTACACAAAATGTGTTGTGTGATTTCTCAACTCATTCCTTCAATGGTAGTGTGATTATGGAGTAGTTACATTTAAATAGTTCATCTGGACATGTTTCATAGACATTCAAGGAATTATCATCAATGTAAAGAAAATAAAAAAAAGAATAAAGATATGGACTATAGTTGATTCGTATTCCTCGTAAACAAAAGTAGGGAAATTATAGTATATGGATATGCCAATCAGAATGAAAATAGAGCCTCTCAGACGTGAGGGAAATTCAAGAGGACATGACGAATAGTTTGTATCTCACTAGAGGCTGAGTAAAGGTTCCCTATATCTAGTTCGGATGCTCAAAACCGATAAATATATCTGCTGTGCATCCACACGGTAGACACAATGTGAAAGCTTCTGACGTAGATTGCGTCTCCAATCGGACGCACTCGATGTGATGGTAAAAGTATACTATTCTAACGGTCTTGAAAAACTCACCAGCCAGTCAAGATACAGTGTTTCGTTATAAAACAATTACCAATAAAACCACAGTGAACAAATATGCTTGGTATTATTAGTAAACCTCTACGTCAGTAGGATTAAACCATGTTGACGACGTTGGGCGATTCTAGAAAGGATAATGACTCACCAATCGGAGTAAAGCCCTTGCAAATGAAATAGGCATCTCGAAACAAACGATAAGATTACAGATAATATGAAGTCAGGGAATACTAGTAGCATAACTCTACTATCTTTCAAGCAGCATAAGTCTGACCATCCTTAACTTAATTCTTCTGTAGTAACACCACTGCACTCCACAGCTTTCCTGACCATTACTTGGTGTGAATTTTTTAATAGTCAAATATTCTTCAGCTGATCGGCCATCACGTCATCCGAATTCGCTGACAGGACAAACTTCCTCATGAGATAATACCTTGAGCCAGACTATTTGTGATTCCGTCTTAAGTATTGTGCACAAGTTCGATGATCATTAACTCTATACTGAACAATTCTATTTGTTTCAAAGTCCCAAGGACAGTTTAGATATGCAACCACGTTTTACGGCACCTTCGGTTTCGCGTAAAAATTCTAGACCTATACTGGTTGTGATTAACTTACTCAAAGTCATTAGTATGGTATACTTTTACTGATGTAGCTAAGCGCATGGTCAAGGGCGTTTGTGTGATTTCCCAAGATCACGGGTGCATTATGATCTAACCTACATAGGAGAATTATTCAGGGACTACCATATATAGGGATGATTGGTGAATGCAAAAAGTACGATAGCCATCGTTCACAAGCGTTCTTGTTCTGTCAACCCTAAGACTGGAGACCACAGTAACAGTGTGGTGAAGACCGTAAAACTATCTTCAACCTTACAAAATATCTAGAGGTAAACTAAACTGGAGTCATATAGACAAACTTTTGTATGGCACCTGCGTTGATTTGCATACTGATGAATCCACTGCAAACCTTAATCAGTTTGACGGTCAAATAGGAAGTATATATATGTTCTAATTTTCGATAATAAATGATTCATTCCTGTCACCTATATTCCGACTGGAGAAAAAGTCTCTTAAGGCCATCCATGCATTACAGTTCAACCTGTATAATGACTACTTACTGAAAAAACTCACCAAACACAGAGTGGTGTGATTGGTCTTGGGTTATACTTTGAGTAAAGACTAGAGTATTAACACTGCCCACTTAACCGGACTGAAGTAGGTGGGTTCGAACCTACAACCTAATGGTTGAGAGCCGGACGCTTCAACTTTAAAGCCACTGCTCAACCGCTTACTGATATGCTATATGGTCATTTACCATCAAGATTACAAAGTAAAATAGTCAGTTTAGTCTACTTTTTTGTAAAGCTGACTAATATATAGTTGCACAACTTTTAAGCAGTTTCGATGTGTAGCACAGTACCATGGACAGGAATTCATTGAGATGGTTTTATTATAAACTATCGAGAAGTGATAAATAGGGTACTGATATGAAATGAAGAAAACAACTATTCTCTACCTCGAATTTTATTTACAGAGTATGCGCTTCAAATAGAATTAAAACACTAGATGTGATATATATATGAGCTTTTTGGTAGTTTTCGGGTATATATAAAATAGTATTAGAAATAAAATTTTGAAGTGAACTCATTATCAAATATTCAATATAATCACAGTTACAACAGAAAACTGATGAACAGGTCTACACACTAAATATATATATATATATATATATATATATATATATATATATATATATATATATATATTCCAAGTAAGTAATTAGAGTATTATGAAAGGAGCCTGAAGTATGACAATAGTTAAGAACGTTTACGATTGTGATGGCGCAATGATTCTCCTGACGTAGAAGGACTTGGATTACGTTGATTACGAGATCCAGAAGAATTTAGTGAGTAGTTGGAAACACATTCATCTCCAGATAAATACGGTGTACTTGATCGGCTTGCACTTACTATCTGCTTAGCTTCTGATCTATCACTTTCTAAACAGCCATTGTTGGAGGATTTTGAACACGGTAAGTTGGAAGACGGATTATTCATTGGACCCCCATTAACTCCATTAGAGTTGGAATGAGTCGCTTCCTCAATTTCTAACTGTTTACACACTGATGTTGTACTATTGCTAGATGATTGAATTGAGGACATTTTTATTCCAGCTACACCCTTCTTTTCACAAGTTAGCAAGTCCCGTTTAATTCGACGCAAACGACCAGAACGATCTTTCCGGATCTTCAAAAACAAGAATGCATTACAAGCATAGTAAAAAATGGCAACTGAGACATTCGAGAAACTAAATGTAAGGCGAATGAAATGTAACATACAAAATGTATCAAATGTATTTTTAAAACATGTAAATAAACTAGCGAAATGCTTTTCTTTTTAAAAAACCTATGAGCAGCTTGGCTGCATCGACCACATAATCACCATTCTTCAGATTTTAGAACACAGATATGCTTATCGTATCCGACAATGGTGGTCTTTCTTCACGTAAAAGCAGCATTTCACTCTGAAGACCACGAAAGTCTGTAGCAGTGTCTGTCATTGAAAAGTGTACCTCACAAGTAAATAAACCCTGGGAGGGCTCTTTACTCGATCACTACCACTCGAGTCAGAGCTTATGGCGAATTGTCATTTGGTTTTTCAACATCAATTGGTGTCCGACAAGACTGTTCACTATCTTCACTTCTATTGAATTCCATAATAGACCTACTGATGGAAATAACGTTCTCGTCGTCCGAATTTTCAGGAATTGATCTCCTACATGGAGGTCTACTTATCAACTTAGAATACGCAGATGATGAAGTCCTGTTTGGTGAAGATGCTGATAAAATAGAGTCTTTTGATAGCACTGAGCAACAATGCCAGGATGTTTGGGATACGCTTCTCTCTCTCTAAATACAAGTTGTTGCCTAAAGACTGGCCTGCGTCAACACCTGAACTAAGGATAGGGAGTGAAGTAGTCGAACGCGTTGACAACTTCACTTATCTCGGAAGTACGATCAACCCTAATAGGAAGGTGTCTGACGAAATCTCAGCACGGATTCGAAAAGCTCGTTTGGCTTTTCCCAACTTACGTCACCTCTGGCGAGGGCGAGATATCCGTTTATCAATTAAGGGACGAGTATACTGCGTAGCAGCTCGTCCTGTTTTACTTTACAGCTGCGAGATATGGTCATTACGAGTAGAAGATACTCGTAAGTTACTAGTATTTGACCACAGATGTCTTAGAAATATTGCTCGCATCTGCTGGGATCACCAGGTAAGTAATAGTGAAGTTAGACGCAGGGTATTAGGCAACGATGGTAAATTAGTTGGTAAGGTTGTGAATCTTCATCGACTGAGATGGTTGTACCATGTATTGCGTACACCTGAACACCGATTACCACAACGCGCAATCTGACTAGTTTTGGGGATGGTTGGAAGAGAGTTGTGGGTGGCCAAAACAAAACGTGACATCAGTGTTTGAAGTCAATAACTTTTAGTCTGAGCCATGTTGGTAGATGAAGATTACTTGGTTGGGATCCGCGTGACTGTCGTAACCAATGGTTGCAATTTTCGATTAAATTAATTTTATGGAAGCGTATTCTAATAGTAATTAGTCTGTTGATATCAAGAACTAGCGTCAGTGAATAATTTCAGATTCCGCATTACTGTTGTAACTAATGGTTGGAGACTCTGGCTGACATGACACAGAATCGATCACAATGACGTAGGTGTATACACTCTCTGTCTTCGTTTAAACTATCAGATTTAAATCGCTTCCTATCTTTCTTTCTATTAACTAATTTTTTCTTCCTGTATTGTATCCTTATATGCAATCTCTTTTATATATTACCACCATTGAATTATTTACTTCTATGAATTTTTTGTTCATGTTGTTTTGCTGATGAGGTATGTCAACATGGACCTATGCATATATGTGGCTGGTCGTACGTTGTAGCTGATTGACTGACTATGAGTAGTGTCTATGTACACGAAAAGAAACATATGCATAAAAAAATACAAATAATTTAATTTCAGTATTTAATCCACCTCAATAATCAAGTCCACATTTGTGTACTAGGCTTTACACTTTTCATTGCAAGAGTGAGCAATAATCTATTCAGATCCCTAAAACAATCTGAATAAGCTTCGAAATTTAAGCTTAGTAGTAACAAATCGAAAGCACAAACATTTGACCCACTGGCGCATGTAAGAAATATAACAGGTTGCACGACAAGGAAGTACATGACAGTCATAAAAAATGTTTTGATTCTTTAGATACTTTACATGAGAACAGAGCATTATGCTACCACCAAACAACCAACGAATAAGGTCTTGGTCAAACAACAATGTATTGGCTTATGAGGACTGAGATAAAAATTATCAAAGAATGATACAACGATGTGCAATTCTTATAGAAGTTTATTTTCAGTTACTTTGTTAACAAAACTAGGATTTAGATTTGAGAAGTCACATAGCATATTCATAACCATAACCAATGGACAAGTTATACAAAAATGGGGAAATTTAATTAATGTCATTTAGTTTTTCGGACTGATTAGTGCAACTTAGCTTCATAAGAAAGTTGTAAAGCATCAACAATAAAAACATTTATTTACTAGTTACAATTAAGTGAATTAACGGAAATACAAAGTTGATTCCAGCAGGAGGTGCAAATAAGCAATTGTCTACCATACGATGCCAAAAATATTCATGTTATTTATAGTTGGCAGCTGTCCTCAACATACAGATACTTAAAAGTTGGACGTTGAAGTGTCATCTACTTTAGAAAGTCAGAACTTAGTCGCGCTTACAGTAAAAACTATTAGTACAGGTCGAAATACTTTATAAATTATTATTAAATAATGATTACTAGAATATGAAAAAGTAACTCTTAAGCAATACTTCTTACCTGAGTCATATTTTTCAAATCTATACTGTATACATAACCTGCAATAGTCAATTCATATGACGATAATTGCCTATTAAATGCATTCTCCAACTCATTACAAGTACGTTCATCGTATTGCCACCAACCTTGGAAACCTTCATAGAACCAAGAATAACTTGGTAATTCATTAGAGTATGAATCATTGACTGATTGAGGTAAAGTTGACAAGCGTTCACATAAGTCAACAATGTGACTTAATTTTTCTTGATCATTTTCACGTAGATCGCAAACTGAAATTTAAAATAAAATCTATAACATTAAACAAAAAAACCTAATGATTGAATTATTTCTGTAATAACGAATATTTTAACATTGAACTATAATTTGGTATCATACGGACTGATGGGATCCACTTTGAATTGGTGACTAAACGGCTAAAATATTCAAGTCTTAATCACTGGATCATAGATTCGAACATCTTTTCGTCTACTTTGCAATCTGATAGCATCACTAGCACAATGAAACGTAACCTGGAAGCCAAGTTTGTGAACGCAGACATGATTACTGAGTTGTACTATACTTTTGAAATAGCATTTACATTTGATTATTTGAATACACAATGCTAGTAACTATAATGTCTGTAATGAGTCTTAAATACATCCATTTATTGTAAACTATCAAATTCCCGACCTTAGCTGCAACACTGACGTGGTGGTCAAGCTTGCCTATCGTAATGACCCAACCGAGCTATATTGGCTGGAACATATGTTCCTGTAGGTTCTACCATGCCAGGCAGGTCGATTGGAGAACGGTAAGACTAAAAGCAGCAACTCAAGGTCTGAGGGGTGTGACAGCAGTAAGGTGTTTCCTTAAAAAAAAGCCCAGCATCTACAGTAATGCTGCCTTCCCACAAGGAAGGAAGGGTAAGAAAATGTCGACCCTAAAAATGTCACACCTCACCTCACGGATTTCCGTTTCCGGCAGTAAGGCCCTTTGAAGAACGGAGCTAACACATTAAAAACCTTCCACGAAAAAACCGTGCGCGACCGGTCTCAAGTAGTTGTCCCTTGGGCTCTGCGGTCACGCTCCCAGGTCGTTGAGACCAACACTAATTCAATTCCCTTTTCAGGTTCCTCAAGAGATACCCTTTCACGGTGTGGGCAGCCGGGAAGTGATATCAGCCCACGAGACCAAGTTGGTCACATTCAAATCCCTCCTACACCTCCTAATATCTCTCTTATCTCCATGACTAACCCTCCTCACGTCTCTTTATCACCTCGCACCGCTAGGGCAAACCATTCGAGTACGCGGAACGCTATTCCTGGTCTCCTGAAACCACATTCTAAACTACACGTAGGAGCTTTTAACGTCCGAACACTGTGCCAAATAGGACAGCAGGCTTCCTTAGCTAGGACTTTACAATCCCGAGCCATCGAAACGCACATACATGATCCGAGCAGCGTCGTTTGTTTGACTTCACCATATCAAAATAAGGAGTCAGTTTGATTCACGCTTCGTGTCTGGAAGCCCCGATGCTGCTTCCCGTGGCCTCGCCGGCGTAGGCATAGCATTGAGCTCTAGGGCGGAACTAGCTCTCTTAGACTGGATCCCAGTAGACAGTCGTTTGTGCGTTGTCCGACTAAACGGAACAGTAAAGCCTCGGAAAGATAGAACGTTCGTCGTCACTGCCTATTCTCTTACTGACTGCAGCGCAGATGATGTAAAAGACGAGCTTTACAGAAAGCGTTCCGACCTCCCAAAAGTTGTGCGCCCCCACGATCTCCAGTCGACCTGAAATGCAAGTGTATGTAAGTCCTCCAACTCTTTATGAAGTTGAAAAAGCCATAAGAAATCTGAAACGAGGGAGAGCAGCAGGCCCTGACAGGTTTACTCCTGAGATTTTTAAGGATGGTGGTTCAGTATTAGCAGTGAGATTAACCGAGGTCTTAGGTAGAATTTGGGAACTGGACGTAATCCCATCTGACTGGTCTCAATCACTGATTGTGCCAGTTTATAAGAAAGGACAAAAGTCCTCTTGTGACAATCACAGAGGAATCAGTTTGACTAATAAAATGTCTAAACTATTAGCTTAAATAATACTTCGACGCCTAACTAAAGCTCATGAAGAACAGACTAGAGAAAATCAGGCTGGTTTCCAACCTGAACGTAGTTGTATAGACCAGATATTCACACTACGCCAGGTCCTAGAACATAGACACACATTCAGACGCCCCACAATGGTAGTATTTCTCGACCTTAAGGCGGCATTTGACTCTGTTGATCGTAAGGTTCTATGGCAGTGTTTGCCACTGAAAGGAGGACCAAAGTACACTAACCTTATACAAGTTCTCTACTCGAATACAACTGGCCGAGTGAGGTTTATTGGGCCTTACATAAGCCTTGTACAGTTCCTGAGTCAAGGATTTGCATACTACTAGACTAGCGTTTCTCTGGAGTATACCGGAATTTATTTATTTGAACATATAAATATTGGTACAAGAGTGCACCAGATATGTATGCGCCACACAAAACAATGAGAATTAGGAGAGAAAAAAAGAACAATAACGAACAGATTAGTGTAAGGTAGTGAAGTAATAATAATAATAATAGTAATAATGAGGGAAACGGAAAGGTACAATCAGAAGAAATTTTTCAGTTAAAGAGGAAACAACCACTTTTTATGAAGAAAGTAAAAGAAGGTTACAGCAGGATCGCCACTGGCTTCTATTCTGAGCCATATCTGATAACGTCTCTAGCCACCGTGTAGCACCATCTCTCGGACCCCAGCCAGGGAGTCGTGAAGGACCAACACAAGCCAGTCCTTTGCAGCTTTCTTTCATGCCACGACACCATGTCATGCACTGACCACCTCTCCGCTTCTTCCAACCAGTCCCAGAGTCGGCAAATAATGCACGACGTGGAATTCTCTGGGACGACATTCGGAGAACATGTCCAAACCACCGAAGTCGGTGTTTCAAGATGGTGACACCAATTGAGTTATCATCTCTGTGCCCGAGCACACGATGCCGAACCTCTGCATTACTGACATGGTGTTGCCACTGAATGTCAGCAATCCTTCGGAGACAGCGATGATCGAACACAGAGAGTCGTCTAACGTCCTCAACTCGGAGAGGCCAGGTTTCACAAGCATAGAGCAAAACTGCTCTCACCAACACGTAGATCCGACCTTTTACAATCAGACTAACATCATGAAGGTGCCAAAGATGGCCCAGATTGGCATAAGCCGCTCTGGCTTTCACTATTCGTGCATTGATCTCATCACCCACACCACCACCAGCACTTATGCAGCTACCTAGATACACGAACTTCTCGACTACGTCTATCTGCTCACCATCCAGGGTGAGTACAGGATTAGAATCTCTCCAGTCTTGTAAAAGTACTTTGCACTTCGAAGGTGCAAAGCACATACCATACCTACGGACACTGATTATCAACTGATTAAGTGCGGATTGGATGCCTTGGGCATTATCGCACAGTAAGACAACATCCGCAAACTCCAGGTCGAGAAGTCTTTCTCCGGGCAACAGATCTACACCGCCATTAATTACGTCCATCAGAGCTGTTTCCAGAATGTCATCGATGGCAAAGTTGAAGAGGAATGGTGAGATTGGGTAACCCTGTCTAACCCCACTGCTCGAATGGAACAACAGAGAGAGGTGGTTGTATGCCCTCACTCTTCCTGAGGTATTGGTATATAGGGCTTTTAATATATTAGTAAACTTCTCAGGCACACTCTTGTCCTGTCCAACGAATCGAAGGCAGCCCTAATGTCAAGAAACACTAGGATTGTTGGCCTTTGATAAGTATGACAGTGTTCTAACATTTGGCGGAGGGTGAAGATATGATCAATACATCCTCGACCAGAACGAAAACCAGCCTGCTCCTCGCGAGTCAATCTTTTTCGGGTTTTGAACGGAATGTCTCGATGAGTTTTGAAGAACTCACAGGAACCTAATCCTCAAGAGAAGATTTCACAAAGTCGCAAGCAACTTAGCACTATCCAGTTGCGTGGACACAACCAGTGCCCATCTGGTGGATTATTCGTTACTCTTTAACGTTCATTGCAATGGAAGGTGTAGCTAATTTGTTGGTCATCAAAAGACAAGATAAATCTGGTGCAAACCAGGGAATGATTGGAATCCAAACAGGTATTTGACAAAAAGCGAAAATCTTATGTGCATCTGATTCAGCGGTAGCTGATTACAATGTGACTAATTTGAGACTAGGCTTCAGCTGTAGAAAGGGGACCCCAGTTCCATATCAGTGATGACTGTGGTAGAAGTAAGTGGTAAACATCAACAGGTTGTGATTTGCTCGAAGCTGAAGGTGGTCACCGTTATCTGACCTTAGACCATAGAATCCCCTTGGTAACCTAAAAGACTCACTTAGATGGTGGAAACCCAGGTTACTACTACTCTAAAACTGTGATAGTAAAATTGATGGTAACGACTAATAAACTTACCATTTATTAACTTGGGATCATCGAAAAAACGCGACGAGAATCTACTGCGGCACATAGGACATTTTCGCCTGTGAAAGGCACAACCTTTAATGCACAAAAAGCAAAATATATGACCACATGGTAATTGAGCAGGATGAACAAGGTTTTGCAAGCATATGCTGCACTCTAGACTATCAACTGTCATAGAGTGGAAGAAGTTCGGAAAGTTGGTATTCAGTAGAGCTACAAAACAAAATCAGATAGTGAGGTATAGTACTTAAATAATCTATGAGGATTTATTTACTTGTTTAAATACAAACATTGGTACAAGGAGGCACAAAATATATGTGCGCCACACAAGTCATGGGGAAAAAAGATAAATCCGCAAACACAAAAAACTAATTTGCAAGTAAACTGATCAGGAACTGTTCGTATTAATGGAAAAATTAATAGTGAGAACTTTTGAAAAACGTATGTATGGTAGTGTATGTCACTGACAGAAGTAGTTTCCGGAGTACTGGTCCGAGAACTGGTTGATGTTGCTGTGTTAACCTAAGTGATATGAGTTTCAAGAAAGTTGACATCATTCTATGTCGGGTTGATGATAAAGATTAACAGTATAGTTAGATTTAGTACAAGATGCTGCACCGAATCGATTTTAGTGCACTAATAACTAACTGGTGCAAACCATTTACAAAGTACAAGTTCAACTTTGTAACACGTTGTCCGAGGGTTAGTAATACTACCTGTATGTTGAAACCGAGATAGGCAACGTTCCAACATGCATCCTACTGGATGAGAACAAAAAATCTTGACCAACAACTCTCAAGCACAACACTGATTATTTTATTAGAAAAACTTTCGAAATTGGTTGCTTAACTACATTTATAGGCGAGACTCTAATTTATGGACGAATCAATCAGGTATAAGATAATAGACCTCGGATTTTAACACGAAAGGCTTTCATTCATTTCGCTAAATTAATTTCTGGCATTATAGCTGATGTCAGTTCTTGATGAGAACCCCATATATAATTCCTAAGGCAAATTATGACAATTATTGCGAACTGAATAATAAAACCACAAGTAACACTGGCTGCAGCCAGGTACTATAATATATACGGATGTTTGGGGAGCGTACAGACACATACATAGGCTTGGTTTGTGCATCGTGTCATTGTAAACAAGTAGCATTTTGTGCACTCAACAACCGGAGTGCACATAAACAATATTGAAGCTATGTGATCGAGGCTGAAAGATTATTTGAGACTTTATCATGACTCCAGAGGTCGACGATTCTGCAGCCGTATGGATGATTTCCTCTACTGCATGCATAACGACTTAGAACCCCCGAACACCGTATATGGAACAAGTGCAAACTATTAAGAATTACAATGCGAAATGGGAAGTTTAAAACTAACGTGATTTGCATTTATCAGACTTTTGCTGTGTTCTTACCCAACAAAAATACCATTTCCGTTCTAAAGAATCTATCCTGAGCTATGCGTTCGGTAGATTACTTTTTTTGAGTTTCACCATATTTAATAGTTAACTGTGGTTTTGCCTCAGATTACTATTCGGTTTTTTTTCACGTTAAGACCAATTCAGTTTATCTCACTCGTTTTTATCCATTTTTGTCCGTTTTCAGTGTGCCTTTTAGTGTATTTTTACGGTCTTAGGCTTTTGCAAGCATCTATAACATAGTTTGCTTCAACATAGTCATGAAAAACTCACGCAAACGTCCTGGATGCCGTTTTGCTGTTACAACTGGCATGCAGTGCGACAACTGCAAAGGTTGGTTCCACGAAGCGTGCACAGATCTGACGGCAACTGTTTACAATAGACTCAGCAAGTCGGACCAAAAGTGGGTATGTGTCACGTGCAGCACGGACGCTGTAGTCTTGCTGAGTAACATCATTGTCCTACTGACAGGTCTGCGGAACAAGTTGTCAGCAAACTTGGATAACGACAGTAAAAAGACGGGCAAACAAACAAGAGCGCGCAATGAACACAAGATTAGGGATGTCGACAGGTATACCATCGATGGAGCATCCATTAGCACTAATGATGACGTGTTGAAGCTCAGCACCATCATTACGTCGACGGTATTAGACTCCCTAAGTAAACTCGGGTCTCCCAGCTCAGGGTCCCTGAACACAACGGTGGTTCTCAAAAACCCTGTAGGTGATTCGACCCACGTTAGCAGAGCCCAAAAGAACCAGGTGTCACCGCCTAAGCTGAACATCCCAAGTGTTGTTGTACGGAAAACAACTGGTGATTTGGTCGCACAGTCTACCCTCAAGAATGTTCATCCGGTCATCAAAGAGCCCAAGACTCAAAAACGTGCCTTGACCTCCAAACAACAAGGTATTAAACCTGAACCCATCGGGAAACCTGGTAAATCAACAACAGTTCGTGACGATCCTCTCATAATCATGAACCTCATTGACAATCCTGACCCTCCTCTCAGTCTGCAGGACAAAAATGATAGGACGCTCTGGGGTGAATTGAACAAGAAGCTCAAACTTCCTAGAATAGAGCCTTTGACGGTCACCCGAGGCTCCTTCGAGTAACACTTAAGAATGCTACCGACGTAGAGGACGTCTTGCTAGCCAGTCACTTGCTGAAATCCGATGGGAACGTAAGAATATTGCCCGACATACCGTACTCTGAGCGCAATATCATACGGAACACCCCTAAAGAATCTCGCGAGAAGTTTTTCCGCGGAAGAAACATAATTGTGCAAGGTATACCGGAAAATACGGACCCTAATCAATCAAACTCTGACATGGAATGGAAATTCATCAAACAGTCCTTGAGACTCAAACACATACTGACTCAGCATGTGACGAGACTAGCCAAGAAGGATGGTGATCCTAGACCCCGTCTAATGAAGATAACCTTCCCATCCTTCCACATGGCGGCTGCAACTCTGGAAGCATTTCGTGCAAACAGACGTCGATTGCTACCTGGAAAGGCCATACGAAGCTAGGACCAAACACAAAGGCAAGATGAAGCTGATCATTCCACTTGTGGACTGTCTAGATGATAAAAAACGTGTAAAGGACAGGGCCTACCACCTCGGCAAACCTCATATAGGTGGGCTACCTGTCCATTCACGTAAGGCTCATACAGACGAACAGGACGAAGCTCACGCGTTCCAAATTGAAAGCATAAACTGCTTATATATGAACGCCGCGAGTCTACCAAACAAACTGGATGAACTACGTGAACTTAGCAACGCTAATAAGGCCCATCTGATAGGAATATCTGAAACCTGGATATCTTCTCAGTTCTCGGACCAAGAGTTAGCATTACCTGGGATGTCTTTGTTCCGCAACGACAGAAAATTAGGAATTGGGGGCGGAGTAGCCGTATACATACGTTCTTGCTTGGAGGTGCACCAAGTTCATAACCTCGAGTTTAACAATCTTGAGGAATCCATATGGTGCTCTGTAAGATTGTCTAGTACTTCGAGGTGTCTAGTCAGAGTCATTTACAGGAAGCCAACTGCCGACATCGAGTACGATAGTCGTATGCTGGAAGGGCTATCCCGCTCTACTCGTTTCGGTTTTACACACATCCTGATTCTAGGGGACTTTAATCTCCCTAGAGTCAACTTCGCGGATCACACGCATACTGGAGGCGATAACTCAATTGAAGCTCGGTTCTTCAACCTCATCGATGACTTGCGATTATACGAAAATGTGAGGTCGGCAACTCGTTGGAGAAACAGTCAGACACCATCGCGCTTAGACTGTGTATTCACAAACGAAGAATCCCTAGTTGACAACCCCTCAATCCTGGCGACACATTACTCTCAGACATTTCAACCGACCGACATTGCAGATGAAACTGTCATCAGTAAAGTTGATGTCAGCCGGTTGAAATGTCTGAGAGTAATGTGTCGCCAGGATTGAGGGGTTGTCAACTAGGGATTCTTCGTTTGTGAATACACAGTCTAAGCGCGATGGTGTCTGACTGTTTCTCCAACGAGTTGCCGACCTCACATTTTCGTATAATCGCAAGTCATCGATGAGGTTGAAGAACCGAGCTTCAATTGAGTTATCGCCTCCAGTATGCGTGTGATCCGCGAAGTTGACTCTAGGGAGATTAAAGTCCCCTAGAATCAGGATGTGTGTAAAACCGAAACGAGTAGAGCGGGATAGCCCTTCCAGCATACGACTATCGTACTCGATGTCGGCAGTTGGCTTCCTGTAAATGACTCTGACTAGACACCTCGAAGTACTAGACAATCTTACAGAGCACCATATGGATTCCTCAAGATTGTTAAACTCGAGGTTATGAACTTGGTGCACCTCCAAGCAAGAACGTATGTATACGGCTACTCCGCCCCCAATTCCTAATTTTCTGTCGTTGCGGAACAAAGACATCCCAGGTAATGCTAACTCTTGGTCCGAGAACTGAGAAGATATCCAGGTTTCAGATATTCCTATCAGATGGGCCTTATTAGCGTTGCTAAGTTCACGTAGTTCATCCAGTTTGTTTGGTAGACTCGCGGCGTTCATATATAAGCAGTTTATGCTTTCAATTTGGAACGCGTGAGCTTCGTCCTGTTCGTCTGTATGAGCCTTACGTGAATGGACAGGTAGCCCACCTATATGAGGTTTGCCGAGGTGGTAGGCCCTGTCCTTTACACGTTTTTTATCATCTAGACAGTCCACAAGTGGAATGATCAGCTTCATCTTGCCTTTGTGTTTGGTCCTAGCTTCGTATGGCCTTTCCAGGTAGCAATCGACGTCTGTTTGCACGAAATGCTTCCAGAGTTGCAGCCGCCATGTGGAAGGATGGGAAGGTTATCTTCATTAGACGGGGTCTAGGATCACCATCCTTCTTGGCTAGTCTCGTCACATGCTGAGTCAGTATGTGTTTGAGTCTCAAGGACTGTTTGATGAATTTCCATTCCATGTCAGAGTTTGATTGATTAGGGTCCGTATTTTCCGGTATACCTTGCACAATTATGTTTCTTCCGCGGAAAAACTTCTCGCGAGATTCTTTAGGGGTGTTCCGTATGATATTGCGCTCAGAGTACGGTATGTCGGGCAATATTCTTACGTTCCCATCGGATTTCAGCAAGTGACTGGCTAGCAAGACGTCCTCTACGTCGGTAGCATTCTTAAGTGTTACTCGAAGGAGCCTCGGGTGACCGTCAAAGGCTCTATTCTAGGAAGTTTGAGCTTCTTGTTCAATTCACCCCAGAGCGTCCTATCATTTTTGTCCTGCAGACTGAGAGGAGGGTCAGGATTGTCAATGAGGTTCATGATTATGAGAGGATCGTCACGAACTGTTGTTGATTTACCAGGTTTCCCGATGGGTTCAGGTTTAATACCTTGTTGTTTGGAGGTCAAGGCACGTTTTTGAGTCTTGGGCTCTTTGATGACCGGATGAACATTCTTGAGGGTAGACTGTGCGACCAAATCACCAGTTGTTTTCCGTACAACAACACTTGGGATGTTCAGCTTAGGCGGTGACACCTGGTTCTTTTGGGCTCTGCTAACGTGGGTCGAATCACCTACAGGGTTTTTGAGAACCACCGTTGTGTTCAGGGACCCTGAGCTGGGAGACCCGAGTTTACTTAGGGAGTCTAATACCGTCGACGTAATGATGGTGCTGAGCTTCAACACGTCATCATTAGTGCTAATGGATGCTCCATCGATGGTATACCTGTCGACATCCCTAATCTTGTGTTCATTGCGCGCTCTTGTTTGTTTGCCCGTCTTTTTACTGTCGTTATCCAAGTTTGCTGACAACTTGTTCCGCAGACCTGTCAGTAGGACAATGATGTTACTCAGCAAGACTACAGCGTCCGTGCTGCACGTGACACATACCCACTTTTGGTCCGACTTGCTGAGTCTATTGTAAACAGTTGCCGTCAGATCTGTGCACGCTTCGTGGAACCAACCTTTGCAGTTGTCGCACTGCATGCCAGTTGTAACAGCAAAACGGCATCCAGGACGTTTGCGTGAGTTTTTCATGACTATGTTGAAGCAAACTATGTTATAGATGCTTGCAAAAGCCTAAGACCGTAAAAATACACTAAAAGGCACACTGAAAACGGACAAAAATGGATAAAAACGAGTGAGATAAACTGAATTGGTCTTAACGTGAAAAAAAACCGAATAGTAATCTGAGGCAAAACCACAGTTAACTATTAAATATGGTGAAACTCAAAAAAAGTAATCTACCGAACGCATAGCTCAGGATAGATTCTTTAGAACGGAAATGGTATTTTTGTTGGGTAAGAACACAGCAAAAGTCTGATAAATGCAATTCACGTTAGGACTATACTTCCCATTAAGAAAGCGCATCTTCTAAGAGCACCATGCTGGAACTCGCTGCCGGCCGAGCTAATCTAAGATATTTCCGAGGAATTCTTTAAGATTCAAGTTTACCTATTCTTAAGAACCAAGGACAGCATCATACTATAATTTGCTAAATTCTTTTTCCTCTTTTATTTTCCACGTTCCTCGGCTCTGACGGATAATGTATGGACGCGGTAAAGGTGGAAAGTCTCGTGCTAAGGCGAAAACACGATTAGCACGTGCTGGTCTGCAGTTCCCAGTTGGTCGTGTCCATCGCCTCCTTCGCAAGGGTAACTACGCAGAGCGTGTCGGGGCTGGTGCCCCTGTTTATTTGGCAGCTGTCCTCGAGTACCTGGCGGCTGTAGTTCTTGAGTTGTCTGGCAATGCCGCTCGTGACAACAAGAATACCTAGGTTCCTTTCCGGAGGATTTGGTGATCCCCTGCTACTAGACACGGAAGCCTGTAAAGCGAAAGTTTTTTCTATTCCGTCAACAACCATTTGAACAACTATGGACAAAGTGGAACGTTTTGATAATCACATTAGCAAACAGGACGTTGATAAATATGAGCACTTTAAGAAAGCAAAATATTTAAATTTCACGGCCTGATGACCAAGTATCATGTTTATAGTAAACTGAAGAGACTAAAATTGGTATGAAATTAATAGCAACGACTTACAAAACCTTCCTGAATTTCCAAATGGGTCAACTTATTTGTAATAGGCGCTGCTGTATTACTACACTGTGAATCTTCGACAAATATTACGTAAAAATGCAAAATTGTTTATTTTAATTACAGTCCATTAATTATTTTACAAACTTCATGTTTTTTGTTTAAGTTTACTGTCTTTCAATGGCAGCTCCTGCGTTAATGTAAGTTGGCTGCATATCTCATTTTCTGTTTTATTCAAAAAAATAAATTAAAATTTCTAAACCGTCTGACAGCATGTAGTCCATGTTAGACCAAGCTTAGTTTTTGCAGTTTCTCTTTGTCACACCAAGATTTTTATCTATCCATATGTTTATTTTTATTTAATTTCGTGTTTTATTGACTTGAATAGTCTAGACAGTACCTTTTTGAGTGAAACACTACAACTTTTAGTATGACACGTTTGGTATTATCCAATGAAGTCTGGTTTTACTGACTTCAGATGTTACTTTGGTGTTCATTCAGTTTCGAGCGTGTATCAGTCTTTACTGACAAGCACAGGAAATCAGCTGACCAAGTGTTTGAAAGTGTTTACTCACAGGGATAGTATTCCTTTGGGTGTATTGCGCTGCCTGTTGACAATAAGATTTCACCCTTTGGTCATGGTTCTGAAACATTTTCGTAATGGCCTCGGAGATGACTAGCCTTCAAGAGCTGATAATAGTTATAAGGTTAGGATCTCAAAATCATATTGCATCCACGATCATCTGAGTGGTTAAAATAAACTGTCTGCTTCACTGCAAATGTCCCTTAGTTTTTACTTAACACCAACCGGGATGTCTGCACCACATTATGTAATCCTAACCAGCATTAAGTTTTGTGTAACTCATCAAGAACATATCCCATTACCGATTGTAAGTCACACTTTTGTCTATGGAAATTATTGACGTTGCTCGATTCTCCATATCAATATAAATAGATGAACTAAGTCTTGAATATCAAAACACCATAACATTCCCTTTTTGGGTTGAGGTTTTAATGTTTAGTAGATATAGTCGATTCCTAATTAATTAATATAATCCCGAGCGATACATGGTGTACAACGATGCAGCATGTCCACATGTTAAATTGCTTATGTAACGATTGATGACGTCGACCATGGTGGCTTATTATAAACTGACTACTCCACCTGGCCTCGTGTAGTGCTAAGTGTAGAAGCCACTTCGGTGACGTTCGTGACGTGTTCTAATCACGACAGCGTGTCCCTGTGTAATGTCACTAACTGACCTATTGTCGTCGCACGAACACATGACCGGACCTCCTCATTGTTAGTTGTCGTTGAATGTCCACAAACCTTTAGAGAAAACGACGATCAAACACAGAGTTGTTTAACACTTCAACTCAAAGAGGTCATATCTCACAAGCATGAAACAAAACTGTTCTCATCGACACATTTTAGGTCCAACCCTTTACATCCAAATTATCACGCAGGTGCCAAAGTTGGCTGATATTGGCATATTCTCATCTGGCTTTCCAAAATGTCGTCGACGGCGAACTCGAGTTAGTTGTGGTTTGATTAAACAACTTTGTCTAACCGCGCTTCCAGAATGAAACAGGGGAATGTTTTGTGTTCTTACTCTACCCGAGGTGTTGGTGTACAGAATCTTTAAGATGATAGCAAACTTCCCAAACACCCTTTAACAGACAATCCCAGAGCACAGTTCTATCCAACTAATCGAAGTTGATTCTGATGTCGAGAAACAACCATTGTTGGCTTGCGATAAGTGTGTCCTAACATTCAGTGAAGGGTGAAAATGTGACTGCTACATTCATGATTTTATCATAAACCAGTTTGCGAAATATAGTGTGATTAATGATAATCATGTTCCGCCTGTTTTGCAACTTTACATCCTAATCATTTCTGAAAAACTAAAACTTATGGTTTCCTTATTGATGGTGCATCGGACTTTTCCACTTACCAATTATTAGATTCGTTTTATTAACTGCTGATTGTTAATGGCTTTAAATCTAATTAGATCCAGTCTTGTTGGTAATCTTATAACTTACACCTGACTGTCATGTTTTTAATGTAGTCCTTAAAAGTAGGAGGAATTTCGCTGACTAATATTTGGCCGTATCATCATGAAATTGCTTGCACATGGCGAAACACCTAATTGACATTGCTTAATTTAGTCCAAAGGTCGAGTGCCTAATCCGCCGAAATATGGAGAACTGTTTGATATGACTGTGAATGTTCGTCAGCCTCAATAACCGTCTATTTCGACGGCCATTTCTGCCTAGTGTATGAGTAAGCTGAAAAATATTTACCAGCGACCAAACGCTTCCCCTAGATCTTGCGTTTCACTACTAACTGATACTTATTATGCTATTATTTTATTCCTGGAACCATATTACCAGTCTTGCTATCAGTGACACCTATCTCGACTCTTGCTACTGTCTTTATGGACTTCACCTCATTGTTTTGAAACGGTGTAACTCATTGAACCGAATCACACTTATACTATATCCTTCGTTTTATTAAAGGTAACTTATGCCTATAACTTACCCACTGTAGTGGTTTAACGGCATATAGGATATGTTTCTGGGACTTCATGTGTTTCCATTTTGTTTTAGAGTATGAATTGATCTCAAGTATGGATTACGCCAAACTTAGTAGCTATCGACACGCCGATCCTTTAAAAGTGCGTCAAGTTTGGGATGCTTTTGGTGTACTTAAATCCCACCGACTAGCAGTACCAGCAGACAAAATTAGCAAAATTCTTCGCAAAACATTGGATCTAAAAGATGATCAAATAAGGTTACTCCTTGATGAAATTGAAGGTGATGGATTAATTGAAAAAATAGAGCCTCCGTTCGGTAAAAATGGTATGGTTCGTTACCAGCTTCCTGACTTTTCAAAACAGCATCCTAGAGGCAAACATGATTGGTATTGCTTCCAGTGCCATAGACCTGGTGAAGTTTTACGCTGTCTTGATTGTTTCCGTGTATATCATTCTGATTGTGTTCAAGAAGCATCTGGTCCTAATAGTCCATCAAGAAAGTCTATGCGTTCACCAACTCTTCATGATGGGCAGGAAGATAATTTTACTTGTCCTGTATGCGAATCTCGACCGAAATGTGAATTCTCCCGCAAGCAGATAAGGAAGCTATTGGAATTTGCAACCCATCAATTGAGGAAGCAGCCATTGTGGAAAACATTTATTCAAGTTGGGTATAAAGGTGAAATAACAAAAAATGAGTACCTTGTGTATAAGTACACTGATCTAGAGTTATTGCAACGCAAGATAAAAGATGGTCGGTATGCTGCTTTAGAGGAATTTTCTATGGATGTACAATTGCTTGTTCATGATGTCTGCATTCTTCATGGCCCTTATAGTAATCAAGCCGATGAGATACGATTTTTCTTTCGATCTGTTAATACAGAATTAAATGAAATCCAATTGTGTACTGACTGTTATATCAACGCTAAGGCTCGTGTTACAGACTGGATTAGTAAACCCTGCAAACCACGTCATGAATTGATATGGGCACGCAATCGCACATCAGCAGGGGCTGGCTTGTTCAACGATACTTCAGTCTCTCAATTCTATTGGCCTGCAAAAGTTTTGTTGGAACGCGATGACGGATATGAGGTAAGTTGCCTATTTTATTATCATGAACGTTTTCTAGCGAATACGTAATCAAGACTGATACTCTAGGGGAACAGGGCTTATTAATTACAAACGAACAATAATTGAACTCACGTTACGTTTCATTAGAATACGGTTGGATTCTTATTCTGTGCGGCTGTCTGACTAGTTTATTTATCTACTATATAATACATGTGGCTCGAACTAACACATGTATTCGAAGTTTCTATGAAATAAATCGACCTTTATCTGTTTCAGGAAGTTTACTTTCGAAATATACCTACTCAACAAACAAATGTATATAGTGGTGTTTCGGTACCAAGTAAAAGCTCCATAGCTCAGACAATCTGAATTTATTGATGCATACTTTGTTATTTTCAGTTGAGTCATTCTATCTGTGGATACACAAAATTTTTTCCTCTAATCATTTTACCTTACAAGTGTTCAGTAGCAAGTCTCAAAGTTGTCTTTAGTTTTGCCACTCTTTAAGTTGAGTTTATTCACTTAGTTCCAAATTCTTCGAATAAGTATAGCAATTTTCGGATTTAATTTTATAGATTTTATCCTTTTCTTTCTTAATGTGTGTTCTAGATACGCTTCTTTGGAGGCTCCCATGAGCGGATGTTCGTAAAGAAAGCCCATACTCGTGCTTTTCACCTCCCAGCTGATGAAGTTGGTGTACTTCGACGTTCAAACGCGACAGGTGCGATCTCAGGTGGAGGATTTGAACGAGCTTGGAATGAAGTTAGTAAATTACAAGCTAACATCGATAGTGGATATTACACACATTCTTCTGGTGAAAGCGATCTTCCCCCTTCTGATGATGATTACTCTGACGAAATGTATCTTGGTCCGCGGCGTAAAACCGTCATCCAGAGCCAACGTTCACATCGTGCAGATAGTCCTAGATCGTCTCTTACTTCTGGTAATACCAAGGCTAACAAAAGGAGGTAATCAAACTATATTTTCTCACGTTCTATATATGTCTTTTACACGACACTAAGTGGTTCTCTTATGTAGCTGGTGCCACTGTATTACGTGTTCATTCGTCATATTATATTGACTTTCCTCAGGTATTTTGGACATAATTGTACTTTTTATACCCGAACTTCTCTGTAATATTTTCTTTGTTGTCTTCTGTGTTAGCTTAGCTAGTTATGTTTGATTGACCTCGTCATTCGATTAGTACTACTTTAATGAACGAGAACACAAGTGGGGACAATCGACAGCTTAAAATTATACATGCCCTTATCACCCTTATTAAATACAATTGTGCTTCATTTTTTTACCCGTAGTAGTAATACTACCGAGCTGTCTAAACAAATCAGACTGGGTTGAGTTGTAACGTGTGACTTGATGATTCCATGTTAACTTCTGACTTTGAACTGCTCACCTCGTAGTGTTAATATTTATTGGTATTTAGGTATATATTTTAAAATTTATTCTTGATTTTACTAGAAATTATTAAACTATTAGGAGGTCCTGTGCTCTTTTCGATTTCCCAACATTTTTACGTTTGGTTTGGAAGATGAAAATTTTTTCAGTCTTAATTGTCTTTTTTATTTTTTATACAGGCGTCACACTTCTTCAAGCAGTCATCAAACGACTACTAGTGATACTCCTACTGGTGGCTCACCCACTCGTGATGTCTCACCATGTACTCATGGTGGCAAGCACTTCAGAACCCATGGTCTCTTGCTTAATTCACACACCGATCTTACTGACAAAAAATTGGCGAGTAATCGTCTTCCAATGCCGGTTGTTCAACCCGGTACTCCAGGCGCTGCAGCTATATCCGCCTTAGCAGAGACAAAAGCAGCTATGGCAGCTGCAGTTGGGTCTGGTCGTAGGCCCGCTGGATCATTTACTGCTGACCTCTTATCTTTAACTCATCGTGAGCATGATAAACCTTATCGAAAACAATCAAAAGAAAATCATTCAAACGTTCCGATACGTGGTCAACGGGGTCGAGGGAGACCCCCTCTCCGAGATAGCAAGGGAAGACCTATTCGGCAGCGTAAATACCGAAGTTCGTCTTCATCATCCCATTCTTCAGATAGCCCATCTTCATCTGTTTCATCAGGTTCCTTGTCAGGAGTAGATGTTCCTCGCACCGCAAATAATAGTTCTCAAAACAACTGGTGTTCTAATGTGAGTACTTTTTCTTATTATGTTGTTTTTATGATTTGCTTAATGTGATTTTAATTAGTCGATGCATATGCATTCTCCAGGAGTCTAACCAGTCAACTAAGTTACTTGTTCTGATTTTATTTGATATTTAAGGCCTACCAAATTATGTCATGAGTCAATTAGCATTATACAGACTTTCTGTTGAATATAACTAATGGTATTCATAACTATGTGTATTAACGGGAATTTGCGTTCGTATTTTGAGAGATAAAAAATGTCTAGATATTTAAAAAATGATGGTTTTATTCTTGATAGTAAGAGAATGATTTACTTTTAGTAAAATAAATTCGATTAAATTATCTGTTAAGTGTTTTGGTTATATTTCGGGCATTCTCTACTTACTTACAGTTTCAGAATAAAGGTACACAAGGTAGTAAATTGACACTATATTTGGCAAACTGATTCCTCTGTGATTGTCACAAGAGGACTTTTGTCCTTTCTTATAAACTGGCACAATCAGTGATTGAGACCAGTCAGATGGGATTACGTCCAGTTCCCAAATTCTACCTAAGACCTCGGTTAATCTCACTGCTAATACTGAACCACCATCCTTAAAAATCTCAGGAGTAAACCTGTCAGGGCCTGCTGCTCTCCCTCGTTTCAGATTTCTTATGGCTTTTTCAACTTCGTAAAGGGACGGAGGACCTACATTAACTTGCCATTCAGGTGGACTGGAAATCGTGGGAAACCGAAGTGTGGCTGAAGGCCAGTTGACCTGATCCCTAAAGTGTTCTGCCCATCGATCCAATCTCCTGGATTGAGAATGTATAATATGTCCATCTTTCTCTGAGAGTGTTTCGCTAACAGTCGGTTTCCTTAACAAGTTTGAACAATTGTCTGCTATTACCTATTGTCGCTGCCTTTTCCATCTCTCTTGCTTTCGCTACCCACCACTGTTCGCGATCATTGCGTAGACTTCTTGTCAGCTTGCGCTTAAGCTGACTCCGCTCTTCATTATGTTCAGAGCCAAGTGGAATGTGTTTCCGAGCATTTATCAGTGAGATAGATGCTGCTGAGATCCAGTGTTTCCCCCTAACCCTGTGGTTTACTTTACTAGCAGATATCACTGCTGTTTCCACAGCTTTTCGGACATCACCGTCACCTACATGGCTGCTTAACTGTTTTCCTAGTTGTTCCTGGAATATACCCTTAGTTTGACTATCATTAAACAGGACCCTAAAAGGTTTCCTTGCAGCGCCTTCCTTACGTCCAGCAAGACGCAGGCAAATACGCGCTCGCACTGGAGCATGATCTGAATTTAAGCATGTGCTCCAAAATGAGTGACAGACTTCTATCGAACCCCTCCGTCGGTGGCTGATAGCGATGTGATCTATTTGGGTCCAACGTTGAGACGAATAAGGTGTCGCCATGTTAAAAGATGTTTTTCCTTATGCTTGGAGTTAGTATTTGCAAGGAACAGGCGGTTATCTGAGCATAGCTGCATTAGACGGTCGCCATTATCTGTTCTTTGAGCCACGACACCATAAGATTCACCCAGGTGTCTTTCCCTATCGCTTAGTTTACCTACTTGATCATTAAAGTCGCCAGCCACTATCACTACATCAAAGCACCTAGCTTTTCGGAGAAGGTCGGAAAGCTTTATGTAAAACTCGTCTTTTACATCATCTGCGCTGCAGTCAGTAAGAGAATAGGCAGAGGCAACGACGAGTGTTCCTATCTTTTCGGATCCTTATTGTTCCGTGCAGTCGGACAGCGCACAAACGACTGTCTACTGAGATTCACTCTAAGAGAGCTAGTTCTGCCCTAGAGCTCAATGCTATGCCGGCGAGGCCACGGGAAGCAGAATCAGGGCTTCCAGGTACACGAAGTGTGAATCGAGTCGGTTCTTTATTTTGGCATGGTGGGGTCAAATGAATGACGCTACTCGTATCCTGTATGCGCGTCTCGGAGACGCAGTGCACATCGATGGCGCGGGATTGTAAAGTCCTAGCTAAGGAAGCCTGCTGTCCTATTTGGCACAGTGTTCGGACGTTAAAAGCTCCTACGTGTAGTTTAGAATGTGGTTTCAGGAGACCAGGAATAGCGTTCCGCGTACTCGAATGGTTTGCCCTAGCGGTACGAGGTGATAAAGAGACGTGAGGAGGGTTAGTCATGGAGATAAGAGAGATATTAGGAGGTGTAGGAGGGATTTGAATGTGACCAACTTGGTCTCGTGGGCTGATATCACTTCCCGGCTGCCCACACCGTGAAAGGGTATCTCTTGAGGAACCTGAAAAGGGAATTGAATTAGTGTTGGTCTCAACGACCTGGGAGCGTGACCGCAGAGCCCAAGGGACAACTACTTGAGACCGGTCGCGCACGGTTTTTTCGTGGAAGGTTTTTAATGTGTTAGCTCCGTTCTTCAAAGGGCCTTACTGCCGGAAACGGAAATCCGTGAGGTGAGGTGTGACATTTTTAGGGTCGACATTTTCTTACCCTTCCTTCCTTGTGGGAAGGCAGCATTACTGTAGATGCTGGGCTTTTTTTTAAGGAAACACCTTACTGCTGTCACACCCCTCAGACCTTGAGTTGCTGCTTTTAGTCTTACCGTTCTCCAATCGACCTGCCTGGCATGGTAGAACCTACAGGAACATATGTTCCAGCCAATATAGCTCGGTTGGGTCATTACGATAGGCAAGCTTGACCACCGCGTCAAGGTAGCAGCTTCGAAGTTAAATAAAAACGACTATCATTATTTGTTCGTGTGCACAAATAATAAGTGCTACTTCGACGGGCGATGTTTTCTGGTATAGGAGTGGGCTAAAAGAAAGCTGACGGCGGTCGAATTAAAACATGGCATCAGTCCATGAAGTCACTGACAATTGGAGTTAGCCAGGTATAGACTACCAGAATAGGGTCTGCGTGATTATCGTAACTAATGGTGAGAGACTTTGAATGACATAATTCAAAGTCGTTTGCAATATCACAAATGCACTCATTTATTGTCTTACCCAAATTCGGGAGTTCTAAATTCCTTGTAAATGTTTTTATTTTGTTTATATTTCACTCATTTATGTTCTTTTCGAATCGTATCTTCGATTCCTTATCTTCCCTATTACCACTGATACTGTGGTGCGTGCGACTTATATTGATATAAGTAGTATATTATGCGAGTCAGGAATGTAATGTCTGACAGCAGAAGATGAGGGAAGATCAAGAAAGCAAGAGCGGGAATAGAATGCAATTTGTATGAAAATGTAAGAACAATGAAGTCTGAGGCATTTTGAAACAGTTGGTGGACATTTTGCAAATTAACGATTTAATATTTGGTTCTCAGATTTTATTGAGATGCTCTGTAATTTTGTGTCAAATACATTCGATTGTCCCCACCCGTGTTTTGTTTAATACATTACTACATCTACGATTCTGGAATTTGGCTTAGTATGCTGCTAATGGGGGTATGGAAACTTGGACCAATCTACATACGCACAGGTTCTGCGTTGTGACTGACTGACAAACACTAATAAGTGTCCTAAAATATTTCCTTGTGCCCCAACTCCTACTTGCTCTTCGAAGTTGTGTACTTCACAGACTGCTTTTGTAACCTTAATTTTACATAATATAACCCGACAGTTTTCGCTCGACTCACTAACATTGTATCAGTATTTGCTTTCCGTTTTACCACCCTCTAATCGACCTTACATTTATGGGAACCAGCATTCCAGCGAAAACTGTCCAACTGTCACCATGATATACATCGGCGTGAATAGGTAGAAGTCGTCTACTCGAACTCGGTCTGTGTTCCTTGCGATAACTCCAACTTAAATAATCAGATATCTTCGTTTGAAAAATGCATACTTTTGTATAATTTGTCCCTTATTCAGATTAGTTGTAACATTCCTTATGGATAATTATTTATTCTCGCTATTCGTTACATGACTAAATAAGATATTTTTATTTGAAATCCCCAATAAACTGGTTTCACTGGAAACTTAAATGTGTTGTTCTCTTTACAATACGGCTTGATGAAGATTCCTTTATTTGGTTTGTTTTACTAGTCCTCTACTGATTGGAAAGTTAAAAAGACTGAAATGCCACGTCGTGGACGTCCACCTAAATCTAGAGGTCGTGTAAAAGCTGGTAAGTTTTTTTCCATAATTTAATTCATATTCGTATTGGTGATAATAAGAGTTGTGAGGACTTTCTTATTGGTTTAAATTTATTTTTCATGAACTGGCATTTAATAAAATAATCAAAAATCCTAAATATCATTCATCTATCTTAATTTAAAATGTATCATAAATTACTTTAACTGTTATCAGACAATTCAGCGACAGTTTTCATAATATTTTTGCCCTTTGAAAACAGTTTAATCTGTGTTTAACAGGAGCCATCCAGTTCCCTCTGGTTTTTAATATTTTTCCAAATGGTTTCAATTCGGTGGAATATATTCAGATATTATCGTACTCAGTGTGTTTCCGGTGAACATACTGGATAAACAGTCTTCTGGACTTTCGTTTTGTTGTTAAAAAGTATATTACTTATCTTCATGGTGGTTATGCGGTGGTTTTTAGCATTCAGTTTTTAAATCAAATATCAGAAGTTTACTTTCAGATATCAAAACATGTAGCGTTATCGTTTCACCACTTAATTTTCATGATTTCAATTCTTGAGTCACGTGCCACAGGATGATTCGGACATCTAAGTAGTGTATTCAGCCCTAATGCTTGCATAACTTATAGTTGTCTACCACTCTTGAACGTCCTAAATAAACCATTACGATCGAGACTAATAATTAACAAGTGGGGAAGGGTGTGAACGTCTGGAAAAAAGAATAACTTCAGTTCTTACGATGGTTTGGTATTTGGAATGCCTGTACCTAGTGGTATTCGTTAGGACTGTTCACACTCTTCTTTTGCAATCATCTTTTTAATTGATATATTTACTTTACGCATAGGCTGCCCACCAGCACTCTCCATCTGACCCTGTGCTGAACAATCCTTCCCAGTTGCTAATCATCCTTTTCATGTCTGCTTCGATTCTCGGCGCAGTGTGTTCTTTGACTTTCCTCTTTTCCGGTTCCCTTCAGGATTCCGAGTTAGGGCTTTCCTCGTGATGCAGTTTGCTGATTTCCATCATGTATGTCCTATCAGCTTCCAACGTTTTTTCCTAATTTCCTCTTCAGCTGGGAACTGGTTTGTTCTCTCTCACAGCAGGCTGCTGACGGTATCCGGCCAGCGGATATTGAATATCGTGCGTAGATAACTGTTTATAAATACTTGTATCATTTCGATTATGGTTGTAGTACTCTAAGTCTCAGCCCCGTACAGTAGGACTGTCATGATGTTCGTATTAAAGATTCAGACTTTGATATTGGTTGACAGACAGTTGTTTTAAGTTCCATGTTTTCTCCAATCGTAGGAATCCTGGTCTTGCTCTGCCAATCTTCACCTTTACGTCTGCATCAGATCCTCCTTGTTCATCGATGATGCTTCACAGATACGTAAAACTGTCCAACCCTTCCAGAGTTTCTTCATCAATTGTGATTGGGTTGGTTGGTGTTCTCCATGTTTATTTGAGCATCTTGGTTTTTCCCTTGTGTATGTCGAGGCCTACTGCTGCAGTGGCTGCTGCTACACTAGTTGTCTTCGCCATCATTTATGTCTGTGTATGAGATGTAAGAGTTAGGTGATCTGCAAAGTCCAAATCGTGCAGTTGATCCCGAGCTGTCCATTGTATTCCATGCTTCCTGTCAGATTTCGAGGTCTTCATAATCCAGTCGACCACCAGAAGAAAGAGGAAGGGCGGGAGTATGCAGCCTTGTCTGACTCAAGTCATTACTTGGAATGCATCTGCCAGTTGTCCTCTATGCACAACTTTGCACTGTAGTCTGTCGCATGAATTCTGTATCATAGTAACGTTCTTCCCAGGCACATCATACTGTCGAAAAAGTTTCCATAATGTTCTCCTATCCACACTGTCAAATGACTTCGCATAGTCAATGAAGTCGATGTATAATGACGAATTACACTGAACTGATTGTCCGACGATGATTTGTAGTGTCGCGATTTGGTCTGTGGACGACCGATCCTTACGAAATCCAGCTTGTCGACCTCGAAGTTGGGCGTCTACTGAGTCTGTCATCCGGTTCAGCAACACTGTTGTAAACTTTTCCTGGTACTGACAGTAGTTAATGCCTCTGAAGTTCTCACATTTGCTCAGATCTTTCTTTGGTCTCTTGATGAGGTGTCCCTTCCAATCCATCGGCACTTGTTCTTCCTCCCAAATTTTCCTGAATAGAAGGTGAAGCATACTTGCAGGTACTTTGATATCTGACTTCAGTGCTTCGGCTGGTATATTGTCAGATCCTGTTGCTTTCCCGCTCTTGATTTGTCTGATAGTCATCGTGATTTCTTCGGCCGTTGGTAGAGTGATATCTATAGGAAGGTGTGTAGGTGTTGCTTCGATGTCCGGTGTATTTAATGGAGGTCTATTCAAGATTTCCTCGAATTATTCCATCTGTGGCGGTCGTCATTAGATATAATTCTTAAACTTCGTATACTGCTCGTTCTGATATATATATATATATATATAGGAAAACGAATGAGTCATCAAATCATTTAAGCGACTCACATTGAAACTAGCAGAATGACTATGTGCGTAGCCGGTAAGCAATGATCAAGCATACAAGCACAACAATAATAAAAGTACTACTATGGTATACAAAAGTTGTTGTTGTGCGAACGACTCTGTCTCCTAAATAATTTAATAAAAAGGGTTTTGTGGAGAGTTTTAGAAATTTCACAGACCACTGAGCCGGCTAGTGGTTAAGTGCTCGCGCGCGAAGCCAGTAGGTCCTGGGTTCAAGCCCCGCGTGGTGCGGGATCGTGGATGCGCACTGCTGAGGAGTCCCATACTAGGACGAAACGGCCGTCCAGTGCTTCCAGGTTTTCAATGGTGGTCTAGCTTCAACTGACTCATGATTTCAACCTGTGAAATTAATAAAAAGGCTTAACGAAATTAAATGTGAACAAACGTTTTGATTAGTACCTTGGAGTCCAGACAAGTTTGATGAACGAAACTTTGGAATTCTTTAAATTTCAATCTCTGAGGTAATTTTAAATATAACTTTCACATATAATAGCTTCTCTATACTCGGCGCCTAATTTTTGTCTTACAATTCGTTCTAATATTGACGAATACTCATATAAACTCAAATGTATGTGAGCTGCTATAAACCTATCTGTTCCTTTATTCTGGAATCTCGGTGATTGTCTTACCTTCTCTGTCCTTGACCGGTCTCTCTGGTTTACTATATCTCCCTGCTAGTTTCTTCGTTGTATCATAAAGCTGTTCCATGTTTCCTTCTCTTGTAGCTTTTTCTGCCGTCGTTGCCAGTTCTTCTACGTAATTCTGCTTGTCGATTCTAATGACCTTCACTTTCTTGTTTGCTTCAGTGTATTCAGCTTGTGCCTTGACTTTCTCTGCTCTTGTTCGGCTGTTGTTGATAGCTGTCTTCTTGTTCTTCCTTTCTTGAATCTTGTCCAGTGTCTTCATAGCGATCCATCCCTTATGATGATGCTTGTTGTGGTCCAGCACCTCCTGACATGTTGAAGTTAATACCTCTTTGATCCCTTTCCAGCTGTCCTCCATCGTAGTTTCTTCTTTCAGTGGATCCTTTAAGGCTTATAACCTGTTGTTGATAGTTATCTTTATTTGGCTGAGTTTGTTAGTATCTCGTAGAAACGCTGTATTGAATCTTTGTACTGCTGTTTCCTCAGCTGTCCAATGCTTCTCTAGCTTCAATTTCATCTTGAAAACCACCAAGTAGTGATTTAAAGCTATACCAGCTCCTCCTGGTCCTCACGTCTTCCATTATCCTTCAAGATTTTTTATTGACGCAAATATGATTTATCTGGTTCTTCGTGGTATGATCCGGTGAGACCCATGTAGCTTTGTATGTGTTTGTGTGGAAATATTGTGCCGTCTCTAACTATTCTGTTAAATGCACATAGATTTACAAACCTCCCCCTATTCTCGTTCCTTGCTCCCAGTCCATATCATCCCACGATATCTTCATATCCGGTGTTGTTCATTCCGACTTTGGCGTTTAGGTCTCCCATCAAGATGGCGAGATCCTCTCTTGGGTACTTTGCTAGGATTTATTGCAGTCTCTCATAAAAATGATCTTTATTATCGTTGTTGGTGGGTGCATAACATTGGATAACATTCATCGTGATTCTCTTCTTTGTTCTGAAGGATGTTTTGATGGTCCTGGATCCGTAAGATTCCCATCCTATAAATGCATTACGTGCTTCTTTGGACAGCATTAGAGCAACTCCCTGAGTGAGTGAGTGAGTGAGTGAGTGAGTGAGTGAGTGAGTGAGTGAGTGAGTGAGTGAGTGAGTGAGTGAGTGAGTGAGTGGAGCATTTTTCTCTTCGTGACCGGAGTACAGCAGCATCTCTCCTGTATCTAGCTTTCGCTGTCCAACTTGGGTCCAATGGGTTTCGCTGATTCGCAGTGCCGCCAAATTGTATCTCCTTATTTCCGTTGCTTTTTGACTGGTCCTCACGTTTTCCAGACGTTCCATGTACCTATAAAAAATTTTGCTTTTGTTGTTAGTAGGAGCATCGGTCTTGTGACTTCCGAAAAATCTCGGCTTTCACCTTGAGGCGTCATAATTCTTCCTTCAACCCGGTGGGCAGAGTTTAAATGCTTTAATTAGTTTAATCTGGTTTGTGGTTTTTTAGAAGAAAATTTTCTATGGCATAGGGTTGCCAACTACATGCACAACCCTCCTTCTTTACCCAAGCTCGGGACCGGTAATAACTGTAGGAGTGCTACAGGTGGAGTTTTTGTCACTTATACGCTTCTGTAGTACTCTAGAACTAGTTAAAATACCATAATCTCAGTGTTTTTACAGTGGCAGAGATCTAACTTTTTTCCTTGTTATTCTTTCTAATTCCCTGTTTTAAGATTAATATTTTGTGAAATTCATCGGTTATTTACTTTACTAGTAGTCACAATTTACTATGACACAATAGTAGATATATCTAGGGAAAGTAATTTCAGTTTTAAAAAGTATTTCAGGATTTGTTCCAACCATTCAAACTCCTAATATGCAGTTTATGCTGTTTTAAATATATCGCAGATTTCTTCAAAGTAATTGTTATACTTCGTTTATCACTCGTTCTGATAACCGATATTAGATAACTCCCAATGGTGTATAAATTTCAGAAGACAATGGAGTGACTGCAGTTTACGGTTGTATAGGACAGACCACAGGTACACGAAACAAATATGAAAATGCTTTCGCGAGGGAATGAAGGAATATAATTTAAGTTATATATATATCTTCTAAAATTTATATATATATATATATATATATATATATATATATAGGAGCAAGCGGATGAATCATCGGACGATTTAAGTAATATTTAAGCTAATGTGTGGGTTGTAACACTCGACCAAGCATACATGATCACCAAAGGATGTGAATAATTGCCTTAAGGTATAAACAAACTGTTATCAACACAAACGACACTATTGAATAAGTTAATCAGGTAAATTATACTATGCTGATGACCTTAGGCGAGTTATCATCTAATCAGGAGACTGTCTAGTTACGAAACAATTAACATTTAAAAGTAACGGAACAGTGAAATAATAGCTTTGATCTGCCTAATTAACCCTCACATGTCAAGTTATCCCTTGCAGTAAAGAAGAAAGGTCAAATTTACATTATAGGAGTCAGGCTAGTGTAGTGAATTAATGCTATCACACTATGGAGTTTTTTTCATCACCTATCATCAGCCTACTACTATGTTTTGCCACTCTACTATTTGCAAACTTAAGATTTAAAGTGAGAGTTAGAAATGGAGAACATTACCTAGCTTCATAAACGTTTGACTACTCATTAAATCATATCAAGCACTTAAACACACAATCTGCCTTCGGAGCGGGTAGGTTTCGTAATTCAGCCTAAGCATTATCTTAGATTTACTTTCTAATTTTTTAACGGATATTTTGAGAAGCAACTATTTTCGGTTTTCATTTAATTCATAATAACATACAAATTACCAGCCATTGCACTTTAAATTTTGCGCGATTCGCGATAATATATTAGTTCGGATTCGTTAACTCAGGGCCCATCAGTTTACGATAGTTTTACCGTTAATTAAAGAAGTTAATATATTTCAATATGTATAAACTCAGATATAGGCCGTTTTATAATATATGTATAAAGCTTATTCAATATCCTTACACCACCTCGCAAAATTACTGAAGCTTGACCGTGAATTTTTCTTTTTTTTTAAGGCTTTGACGATATAAAAGAAGTTCATTCATGAGAATTTAACTTTCTAAGTATCATGTGTAGCATTATTATTGTAGATTCGTTTGTTTTTCATTTCACTCTTCTATATTGTGTATTTCACCGATATTTTTTTCGAATTTATCTACATTTATCATTTCAAAATAATCCACTATTCTATATGGTGTATAAATCAACCTGGTTTACTTTCGTCTCTGAATCCTAGAGTTATTTGGAGAACTTTTTATATAAAATAATTAAGTATACGCAAAGTGAGATTCTTTCTGTACACATCCTTTCATGTTAACCAAATTTAACTTTCATTTTAACTACATTACTACCGTTTCTGCGTAACTTTTATAGTTAACGATATTGTTCGTTCAAGTTGGTGTTCACCAACAGCTGAGAGTTCAGATGCTGAAGGCAATTCAGAATTGTGGACGAAATCGGGTTCTTCAAATGTTATAAAACCTGTAAGTGTATCTTTTTTGGAACTATATGTACTTGTTTTTAAATGAAAAATTTAATTATAAATTCCTCATTCTTTACTATTTAGGCGCATAAACGATTTTGTACACACAAACCATTTGTGCATATTTATCCATTTCTTTCTTAGTAGGACAATGTAAGTCCCTAAAATTCTGAGCCTTACGTATGGTCTATTAACGTGAGTATAGTTTTTGGAACAATTGAGACCACTAAATGTTGTCCCTCACTTAAATTGACATGTCTGTGTATATGGTTTTTAGGCTGTTAATAAACCTCTTAAATTACAATTTACTAATATTTTAGATTTTCTGACGTTTCGTGACTCAGTGTAAGCCACTTCTCCAGAGAATAAATAACCAATCTACCAAATGTTCAATTTATTCGAAATTATCAAGTCAAACCTTGGTAATGATACCTACAAATTCATGCTTCGTTTAAATCTTAGATGGTGATCAATACACGTCAATAATGAATTATACTATGATCTTACAGTTCTTTCTATAAACTAGCCTCAATACATATAACTTTTTAGAACATATCCTAGTTATTATCATTATTTTCTGCTGACTAGCCGTTAACAATCCCTAATTGTTTTCCATTTATTTAATGACTTCATTTTCAATGTAATTTGACTGGTATTATTGTTTTTATTGTACGTCTTAATGTTATCTTATGTGATGTGGTGACACAGTCATATACAAAATATAGGAGATCAATAATTGATAACAAGCTATCAATTCCACTAGGTTTCATTACTGTCAATAATATGCTGAAGCATCACAACTTCACTCGAAGTAAGAAGAATATAAAGTAATCTCGGCCTCTGAAAGCAAAGAATATAAATAAAAATATTTTTTGTAGGCTTCGCACAAGTGAATTGATCGCATTTTAAGCACATTTTGATGATTAGTCTTATTCAGTGTTGGCCATGTCAGTCATAATTAAGATTGGACGACGTTGAACATCTTTCAAAATCCTATCTCACTGTTCAACAAAATAAAACAGTCGTAAGTAAAGAAAAAATGGCGAATAGCAGTGGGATCCAGGATACGCGTTTTGTCTTGCTTGGGACTCGTCATCTGGGCGTGTCTACATCCTAGAGTTGGTATTCACTCCGGGACCCGAACCCAATATCGTTCACTTCAAACGTCATTGTGTTATCCAACTCTGTTCCAGCCGTTTAATGTTGGTGAAGCCTGGTGGCTTTTCTGGAAATAGGTTCTGTTTTTCCAGACTCACAAACTCACTGTATGGGTGTTATTCCCTGGTGAAATCAGTACCCCCGATTCTCGTCGCGCGGGTATCGCACCAGGTGCAAGTATGCGTTACATACATACAGGTAACATATAAGTTTTCACTTATGCATCCTTTCGCATACATATAGGTTTATTCACTCAGGAGGTTAGATGTTAACCTCTATTCGAACGTATTCGCCATAACTGACTGTCTCTTGAGCATTATATGCATACCACTGATACAAAGACTTTCGCCCTCGCACTTCATGGCGTGCACATAAGCATAAACACTTTCAGGGAGGGTTGATGATCACCTTCCCCTAATATGTGCAATCGTGTCTTTTTATTATATCTTCGACTTGTTGGTTTAGGCAGCTGATTTTATTAGACATAGAGCAGACATATCAGTTTGTTTCTTTTTCAATCCCGGGGTATACCCTCTGCATATGCTTACCTACACAAACTGTGACTCGTGGAATTCACTTACACAAACACACACATCGGGGAGTCCGCAACATTTGAGAGCCTTAATGTTTAAACCCCAAGTAATCCATTTTCAGTTTAGGAGTGGCAGATTAATCCGATCTCTGCTTAGCGCCCGAATGAACTAGCGGGGTTTCCCCCACTACCCAGTGGCTCCACGTGGAGGTTTTGAGTCGGATTTTGCTCCCACGTTATTTAACAGCTGACGCAAATGAACATGAAACAATGCCTAACATTGGATGAGACCTCTGTAAACCACAATTATTCTCCATTACTGTCTGTATGAAAACCAATTACTTACAGTTGAATGGGTGCTACTGTCCTCTGGCATTCAGGAGAATCTAGTTTGTAGTTGTCCTCTGCAACTGAACATATCTCGATGGAAATGTAAACGAGTTTAGATTATTGTTTTGCATATACTTTTCTATTTAATGTTATATTGAATTCTATTGTGAGGACGGACCACGGGTGAACCCGAGGAAGCTGTAAGAGGTTCAGAAGGAGCCGAAGGTATTCCATCCGATCATTTTTTTGGAAGAATATCCTAGAATTCCTACCTGTAGCTTCCCGATTGGACAATGCTAATAACCCCCTGTATGCGGGTTGGAGAACTGTTATGATGATTTCGTTCTTACTAAAAAACTATAAATACCTGACAATTTTGTGCTATGATTCACACTGTCTGGAATAACATTCCTTTCACTACTCTTCTCTCTTCTCACTGCGACTTGTAAGGGTTCTGGCGTTTTGTTGCTCAAGTTATACGCAGTATATCAAGAAAACAACCATCTAGATATAACGTTTATCATGCTTTGCTGAGATAATTATTTAGAGTAAAATTTCTATTCAATCATTATTTCCTACTAACTAGTTACAAATATTACCAACCTAATGTAAACTTTGTAAATAACGCTTCTGTCAAAAAGAAACTAAATTAACATAATGACTAACTGGCTTCAAGTTTCATGTGCATGTTGTCTTGAATCCGCACATGTTGAGTAGTCCATCTTTTTTATTGGCATTTTCTCACAGTGTACACTAATTTTTCCATAGGTTTTACTGACTATGCTCATATGTTAAAATTCTCACTAGGTTTACATTACATTTTTGATGGCGCGTAGTTAAACTCTTTCCTCGTTTCCAATTGTTGCTCTAATTATTAGCCTTATTTGACCTTTTTAGAGTCCAACTCGAGGACGACCGAAGTTAGCTGCCTCAAATAGCTCTCTTAATCGTATTGAAGATGCTAAGAGAAAACGGTTAACGATTCCAAATAAAAATTCGACTCAAGATACAGCGAATTCCGGAGGTAAACGTTCTAAAAGGTATTCCAAACAAATGGATAGTTTTGGTAATGTTCGAGATGAAGATGACGAGCTAACTGACCGATGTGATTCTCCCATTGGAAACGACAGTCAGAATTTGAGGCACTCGAATAACTATCGTTGGCATTCGCATCATTCATCAAGTGTTTACAACACATCGGGTACACCTGTTTCTTCAATGAGAAAATCTGGAACTAATGATTCGAGTATCCATAAAACATCACCATCTAAGAAGGCATCTACTGCTAAACAGCGTTCTTCTCATTCTAGCAATTATAGTACATGCTCTTCACCCTCTTCTTCTGATATGGATGACAACGATGAAAGTGGACGCAGACATCGTAATATTGTCAAAGTTGACGATGAAGATGATGACCGTAGATTCCGTAGTCCAACTCGTAGTGGTTCAAGCAACAAGGATAGAACTTCTGGAGCAAGCAGTACAATGTTACGTCGACCACCATTCGCTCCTCCTTTGAGTACATCTGGATCCATTAGTAATTTGAACGCTACTAATGATCGAAACAGTCTATCTACTGCTACAAACTTATTTTCTAATACTGGCCAAAATCTTTTTTCTCCATGCAATGATTCTGTTGTTACAATAAATTCTTCAGTGAATTCAGGAACTTCATCCACTAATAACAGACTAAGTGGTTCCGTTCATCCTACTACATCTAATGCTAATCTTTCTTCACATTTTATATCTTCAGGTGCCTTGTCTAGCAATTCAAATAATGTTGCCACTACTCCCGGAATGTCTACTCTCCCACGTTCACACTTGCCGCCAAATAAACGTGCTGCTGCTGCAGCTACAGCAGCAGCTCTAAACAGAGACTCAGTTGGAGGAGGAGTAAATGATGTTTCAAATGAAACTAATCAACGTCAAGCTTCTGTGAAAAGTCCTGAACTTTCTGTGACATCCTCTCCGAGAAAACAACTTCATAAAGGAATCCAGGTAAGCTGTTATAATCTGTCAGGAAATTTATTTCCTTTTTGTAATTTTTGACCAGTGATTGTATAATTTGAAACTTTTTATTGCTTATAATTTATTACTGGAATGTCCTACTTCGAAACGTTATTATTAATAATGTGAATTTCCGGTTATTATGTGTGATAGAATAAACTTGGTAGTGTAATTTCCTTACGTTGTAATTTATTTTGGCTATCTTAGTCCCTACATGGGTGTTGATGTTTTTTCTCGAATCAGCTTAGTAAAAAACATCTCACTTTGTCAACATAGGTTATTATATATATACTCATATCAGTGTTTTATTCGGTGACTTGATTTGCGTTGCTTTTTTACTATGTCATCCATGTCCATTATAATAGATTCATTGTACTTCAAGTCTTTTTAATAATTTTGTTTGTTCTAAATCTTTTATAATAAGCATCTAGCAAGTATTAGACCTGTTAATTATTGTTCGGTTTCAGCGAAATAGTATGAAGAATAATTGTCATTTAATATTAAGCATTCTTTTTTATTTAGCGCTTATTGTCCAAGATTTTTGATTTTATATATTTTGTTTATTCATTTTTTCTCGTTACCTAGACCCCAGCCAGTATGGAAATACCGATATTATCTCAACAACCATGTTCACAGTGTAAAGAACGTGAAGCAGAACGGTTGGCTGCAGCTAATGATACTAAAAGAGCTTTGCGAGAACTCGAAGAAAAACTCATAGCTCAATTTAAAGAAGAGAAAGCTACCGCTTTACATTCAGCTCTTGAACAAGCTCAAGCCAGTGCTCGTGAGGCTATTGAACATGAACGTAAATTAGCTCATGATACTTTGGAAGCTGCTGAGGCAAGATTTGCAGAAGTTATTGTTCAGACTAAACGTCGACAGTGGTGTCGTAATTGTCTTATAGAGGCTATCTATCATTGTTGTTGGAATACTTCGTACTGTAGTACACAATGCCAACAGGAACATTGGCAAAAAGAACATAAACGTCAGTGTCGTAGAAAACGATGATTTTCAATCATATTCATACCTTATATATATATATCAATCTTGTATATAATCTTGTTATTTTGTCTATTCCACATACATGTACATTACTTTTACCCTTGTTATAATTATAATCTCTGATTATGCCACATCAATAACTGTTGTTTTTTTCGATTTCGGTTTATTTGTTATTCACAATCATGAATATAGTCAATTTCTTTACCCCATCCCCAAGAAAGAAAAGCATTTCAGTAATTTTTCACTTCAAATCTTTCTGTTTCTCAATATATATATATATATATGTGTATAGGCAGCTGTTCATTTCCGATTATCCTTTCTTATTATATACAAATTAATTAAATCGTAATAATTCAGCTTTAAAAATAAAGTCGTACATTGCATAGCCACTATTAATATACTCGTTTGTGTTTATGTGTGTATGATCTATTTTCAATTTACTTTCTTTCTTCTAACTTGCGTTTACTTAAAATTGTAGTCTGATTGTGACTGCTTTTTTATTCTTGTATTATAGTCGTTTTAATTTCTTTTCTCATCGTTATATTTATTTATTTAAATATAACTTTTCATGTTATTATGTATGAAAGAATAAACTTGGTAGTTTAATTTCCTTACGTTTTAACTTAATTCTGCTATTTTAGTCCCTACATGGGTGTTGATGTTTTTTCTCGAATCAGCTTAGTAAAAAACATCTCACTTTGTCAACATAGGTTAGAATATATATACTCATTACTTACGCCTGTTACTCCCAATGGAGCATAGGCCGCCGACCAGCATTCTCCAACCCACTCTGTCCTGGGCCTTCTTTTCTAGTTCCATCCAATTCTTGTTCATTTTTCTCATGTCTATCTCCATTTCTCGGCGTAATGTGTTCTTTGGTCTTCCTCTTTTACTTTAACCTTCAGTATTCCATGTGAGGGTTTGTCTCGTGACACAATTGGGTGCTTTCCTCAATGTGTGTCCTATCCACTTCCAGCGCTTCTTCCTGATTTCTTCCTCCACTGGGATCTGGTTTGTCCTCTCCCACAGTACGTTGTTGCTAATAGTGTCCGGCCAATGGATCTGAAGTATTTTGCGTAGACAATTGTTAATAAACACCTGTATTTTCTGGATGATGGATTCCGTAGTTCTCCAGGTTTCTGCCCCATACAGTAGAACTATCTTGACATTTGTATTGAAAATCCTGACCTTGGTGTTGGTTGACAGTTGCTTTGAGTTCCAGATGTACTTCAGTTGTAAATATGCTGCTCTTGCTTTGCTGTTCCGCGCCTTCACATCTGCATCAGATCCACCCTGTTCATCAATGATGCTGCCCAAATATGTAAAGGTTTTTACATCTTCCAGATCTCCGTCAATTGTGATTAGATTGGTGCATGCTGTGTTGTATCGGAGAATCTTGCTTTTCCCTTTGTGTATATTGAGACCTACTGCTGCTGAGGCTGTTGCTACACTGGTCGTTGATAGGAGGGCCAGATCATCTGCGAAGTCTAGATCGTCCAACTGCATTCTAGATGTCCATTGTATCCCATGCTTCCCTTCAGATGTTGACGTCTTCATGATCCAGTCGATCACCAGAAGAAAGAGAAAGGTTGAGAGTAAGCAACCTTGCCTGACATCAGTCTTTACTTCGAACGACTTTGTCAACTGTCCTCCATGCACGATTTTGCAGTGTAATCCACCATATGAATTCTGCATGATATTGACTATCTTCTGAGGCACATCGTAGTGTCGAAGAAGCTTCCATAGTGTTGTTCTGTCCACGCTGTCAAATGCTTTTTCGTAGTCAATGAAGTTGATGTAGAGTGATGAATTCCATTCAATTGATTGTTCCACAATGATTCGTAGAGTTGCGATTTGGTCTGTACACGATCTATCCTTACGGAATCCTGCCTGTTGGTCACGAAGTTGGGCGTCTACGCAGTCCTTCATCCTGTTTAACAATACCCTGTTGAAGACTTTCCCGGTATTGAGAGAAGAGTGATGCCCGTGTAGTTATCACACTTGCTGAGATCGCCCTTTGGTATTTTGATCAGAAGTCCTTCTTCCCAGTCTTTTGGTACTTGTTCCTCATCCCAAATCTTATTGAAGAGAATGTGGAGTATCCTTGCAGTTGCCGCTACTTCTGCTTTCAATGCCTCTGCTGGAATGTTGTCTGGTCCTGCTGCTTTGCTACTCTTGATTTGTCTGATGTCCATGCTGATTTCTTCAATTGTTGGTGGGCCAACATTGATTGGGAGGTCCGTGGGTGCTGCTTCGATATTGGGTGAGTTCAGTAGGGCTGGTCGATTTAAGAGTTGTTTGAAGTGTTCTACCCACCTGTTTTGTTGCTCTTCAATGTTGGTGATTACCTCGCCTTGCTTGCTTTTCACTGGTCGTTCTGGTTTGCAGCGATTTCCAGAGAGTTTCTTTGTCGTGTCATACAGTTGTTTCATGTTTCCTTCTCTTGCAGCCTTTTCCGCCGTCGTTGCTAAATCTTCCACATATTTACGTTTGTCGGTTCTGATGCTCCTCTTCACTTGTTTGTTTATTTCTGTGTATTCAGCTTGTGCCTTGGCTTTTTCTGCTCTTGTTCGACTGGTATTGATTGCTGCCTTGTTGTTCCTCCTTTCTTGAATCTTATCAAGTGTATCATATCAGTGTTTTATTCGGTGACTTGATTTGCGTTGCTTTTTTACTATGTCATCCATGTCCATTATAATAGATTCATTGTACTTCAAGTCTTTTTAATAATTTTGTTTGTTCTAAATCTTTTATAATAAGCATCTAGCAAGTATTAGACCTGTTAATTATTGTTCGGTTTCAGCGAAATAGTATGAAGAATAATTGTCATTTAATATTAAGCATTCTTTTTTATTTAGCGCTTATTGTCCAAGATTTTTGATTTTATATATTTTGTTTATTCATTTTTTCTCGTTACCTAGACCCCAGCCAGTATGGAAATACCGATATTATCTCAACAACCATGTTCACAGTGTAAAGAACGTGAAGCAGAACGGTTGGCTGCAGCTAATGATACTAAAAGAGCTTTGCGAGAACTCGAAGAAAAACTCATAGCTCAATTTAAAGAAGAGAAAGCTACCGCTTTACATTCAGCTCTTGAACAAGCTCAAGCCAGTGCTCGTGAGGCTATTGAACATGAACGTAAATTAGCTCATGATACTTTGGAAGCTGCTGAGGCAAGATTTGCAGAAGTTATTGTTCAGACTAAACGTCGACAGTGGTGTCGTAATTGTCTTATAGAGGCTATCTATCATTGTTGTTGGAATACTTCGTACTGTAGTACACAATGCCAACATGAGCATTGGCAAAGAGAACATAAAAGTCAGTGTCGTAGAAAACGATGATTTTCAATCATATTCATACCTTATATATATATATATATCAATCTTGTATATAATCTTGTTATTTTGTCTATTCCACATACATGTACATTACTTTTACCCTTGTTATAATTATAATCATTTTCGATTATCCTTTCTTATTATATACAAATTAATTAAATCGTAATAATTCAGCTTTAAAAATAAAGTCGTACATTGCATAGCCACTATTAATATACTCGTTTGTGTTTATGTGTGTATGATCTATTTTCAATTTACTTTCTTTCTTCTAACTTGCGTTTACTTAAAATTGTAGTCTGATTGTGACTGCTTTTTTATTCTTGTATTATAGTCGTTTTAATTTCTTTTCTCATCGTTATATTTATTTATTTAAATATAAGTTTTCATGTGTTGTACAGTACTATCTATTCATTTGTATAAGATTGATGTGTAGAATACACCTATTTTCAATTATCTTCTATTAGACATCACTGATACATATCAAATACAATGAAGTTTTCAAGAGTTTCTTAATAATTTAATCATAATTTTTCATTATCTTAATTGTTAAACTTTTGTCCTTTATTCAATCTGAATTAAGTTATTTCTTTTTCAAAAATGACACTTTCTACACATTTCAGCGGGCGTCGTATTGTATTGTTCACTTCTGATAAATACTGGTGTTTCACTTCTATACAAATATACATATATATTGATCAACTGTGTTCATATCTTCTTTTTTTGGTTAGAATGAATAATCAAGGTTGTTGATAACGTTAGATTTTAGTCAACTTTCATTAAAGTGTGAATAAGTTGTGTCATTTGATAATAGTCTGAGCTTTTTGGTCTTTCAGCATGCCTACAATTGAAGAATTAAAAAATAGTAAAGTGGATTCTTCAATAGAAAACAAAAATTCTAATTTACGGAAATTATTATTAGAGGATACTCTTGATGTTGCTCCTATTGGTCTAACATTCTGTTTTGATCGTGAATCATTTCTAAATGTAAGCGTTTTTTCAAACTACTTTTGAATACATTTGTCTGCTGTGTGAAAATTGATTTTGAAATTTTTCAGTTCAATCCCGATAGTGATGCATATGCATATTATGAAACAATTGTTTGCTAGTTAGAGAATTAGAAATATTTGACCTTCAGATTCTACTTATTAGTATCTAGATTTATATGCATTCATTTCACTGATTAAGAAGTAATGAATCAGTTCTTAATAAAATGTCCAATTTATTTGAAATTAATATCAGAAGGGTTTTGTGGATATCTCCCGAGGCGGGATCGTGGACACGGGCTGCTGAGATGTCCCACAGTAGGAAGAAACGGCCGTCCAATGCTTCCACGTTTTTTATGATGGTCTAGCTTCAATTTACTCATGGTCTGAACTATTAAAATTATTTGAAATTATCAAGTCAAACCTTGGTAATGATCAGTTCTGTTTCCTAACTTTTCCGGTTTATTTGTGTAAGCGCAGACACGTAAATAACAAGACTAAGTTCTAAAGATATTCACTTCTCAGTAATACAGAATGATGTCCAAAAATGCTATATCTAGCTCCTGACCGTTTAAGTTCTTATCAAATTGGAGTGGTTATTGGATTTTTTTTTTCTTTGTTCTTTTATGGTATGGTACAGGTGTTCGTCATTGTCCATTCTAACAATATTAATGGGAGACAAAGTATATTTTACATAGAGCCCTGTTTAACTTCACCGTAGTGAAAGTTTCAGTATATACTTTTAAAATCCCATATAATTAGTTTCCTTTAAATTCTTGCCTAGTTTGGTCTTATTCCTTAATCCGATGGTATATATGGCTTTACTGCAAACTTTGTTTATTATCCCGCTATAAGCTTCTCGTCTGGTTTATACATGTCAAATATGACTTTCATTAGCTAACTAGATCCTTCCTATACTTAAAAGTTTCATAGGGTGTAATATTAAATTTCACACGTATGTATTTATGTTGTCGCACATTACGACGACATAGCAGTTTCAGAGGTCTGCTCAAACTTTTGGGTCACCTATTTTAAATAAACGTATATACTACTGACACACGCTACCACAAGAAACAACTTGTAAATTATTGCTTTACTAATTACGGAAAAGCTCGAACAAAGTCATCTTTATTTTTTGTATGTTTTTTCTCTTTGTCTATCATTTAATGAAACAAATATATTTGAATCCACTCATCCTGTATATGGTGTATGAGAAGAAAACCTAGTTGTAGCAGCTGAACTAGTAGGAACATTTCACAGTCGAAGATAGATATTTATTATTTATTAATTTTAACACAGATATTGGTACAAGGGGGCACCAAATACATATGTGCCACACAAATCTCATTTGATATGTGTGAGGGCTGTGATACTGCCCGGGCGCCCAAACCGACGCAGGTGGTTTTCTTAGGAGGCCACACTCGGTGCCTTCGACCTGAAGGTCTGATCCACAAGGCAGTGGAGCATTGTAAGGAGATGTAGTCTCATGGTAGCCGGTGACGTACGATTGGTTCATACGCCATTTGTTCTTTCAGGATACTGGAGCCCATGTGCACCAGTGGTTTGGAATCAGGGTCTTCCAACTCCCCTAGGTGAATTCTTAATGTCCACCGACCCGGTTAAAACGTCGGACATTCGCTTTTCGTCCTTTTAATTTCGTAAACAACACCGCCACGAGAAGGCCATGAGTAGGACTTCCCTGATAGGCTATATACGCGTGGCCATGTGAGAGCATTTCGAGAGGAAGAGCTGACTCTCCCCACTCTCGGCCGTATCAGGGCATTCGGGGGCGAAGATAGATAACGAATACTAAAATTTCTGGAATATTTATAAAGTACTTTTAGATCAATTACAATTCGAAAGAATGATGTACAGAAATTTGTCGCAATATTACACAAGTGATATTAAAAATTCCTTACTGGTATTTGATGCATCAATTATTTATGTCAACAGGAAGTAGTAAGAGTGCTTACACAATAAAAGACGAAAAAATTAAACGACAAAGATTCAGAACAATGTGATGGTTATTTCAATTAGGTAAATGAATAAGTTCATTTACTTCACTATAATAGATTATGAAATCTACAATCATAAAGGGCTCTTGCTACTGCAAACTTACAATTGTCATTACAGAACGATGCAGATCACAGTGTGGTTTTCTCATACTCCGAGTAGCTTTCCACTTCAAAGTAGGTTTTTAACTACAGATCACATATCGTTTAGTTAATTATCTCGGTCTGAACCATATTTGATAATTGCAATTAGTGGAATGAAGGACTTGAGTTTTTTTTCTTTATGACTCATTAACTGGATAAAGTTGTCAGGACATCCAAAATTTCTTACCTTGCTATCATTTTTAGTTATATATATATATATATATATATATATATATATATATATATATATATATATATATATATATATATATATATCATACCTTGTGTAATATATTAACACTAGTTTAGTGTTCTACCCGTCAAACTATAACTTTTTGTCTGATCATCCCTGTCTAAAATCGATAGCTTTTGATTGGGTGGTATAGTTGTTAGTATCTGAGTTAGATCATATATAGTGTATGAATATTGATCGAATATACTTTATGTGCTCCGTGTACGCAGTGGAAGATTAAGTAGTTTTTGCAATGAATGGAATGTCCACTACTCAAATACAGATTATTGGTGCATGTATGTGTATCAGCAAGTAAAATCAGTTATTCTTTTAGAACAAAAAGCATACAGTTCAATCGCTTCCATTAATAATCCACCATTATTTGTACCTCTGGGTATAGTTGATGACTGGTTCGTTGCAATACATATCGCAAGTATTCTTCTACCACACGCTAATGACTGGTTTGTCCCTAAATGCCCTGGTACGGAAGGAATAAATGGCATATGAACCTATTGTTGGTCGCCAGCTATCATGGGGCTGCATCTCCTGGCGTTGCTCCACTGCCTTATAGATTAGACCTTTAGGCTCGGTGTTTGGCCCCCTAAACAAAACTATATCCAGAGGGTTTCTAATTTAGGGTCGTCTATTGGTTGAGAACCGAATTCCCTAACCACTAAGCGGTCCATGTATGGCCTTACCATTCATATGGATGTCTTGTAATCTTTGCGTAAATCTGCAAAAATGATGACTAAGGAAGTTTTATGGAATTGTTTTTTGGTATTTGAGGTATATGAAACAGTATGTCGATCTGTCATCAAGTATTTTTCAACACGTAGCTGTAAAGTAATTTATATTCACACTAGTTCTTTTTTGAAAATATTTTTACAGGATGACTTTAACCCGGACGATTTTATTTTGGAGCAACATTGTCGTGGGATATCATTAGAAAAACTTCGTGATGATCTTCTTCAATATTCTAATATTCTTAAGTCCAGTTTAATTGAATTGATCAATCAAGATTATGCTGATTTTGTAAGTCTATCAACAAATCTTGTTGGTTTGGATAAATCAATTGATACAATTGTCACACCATTGAAACAACTACAATCTTATGTATCGGTAAGCTTTTTTTATTAATTCTCTGCATATACTGAATATTTGTTCGATATTGTACAACGCGGAGTTTTTGACTTATTCGATTTAGGTTTTAATTAGTGTACATTTATATCTTTGGCCATACCTCATTAGCACAACAAGATGAATAGCAAATTCATAGTAGTTACTTCAATGGTAGTAGTGTATGTAAATAAAGATTACATGTGAGAATATGATACGGGGAAAAAATTATTTCTTAACAAGGAAGGTATAAAGTAATTTTAATCTCACAGTTTAAGGGAAGACAGAGAGTGTATAGCTTACTAGTATCCTCTACTCTCATTGGCCATGTTTTGCAGCCGTAAAGTAGGACAGAACGAACTGCTTCCCAGTATACTTGTCCCTTAATTAATAGACGGATATCTCGCCTTCGCCATAGTTGACGTAATTTTCACAGATTGAAATCGTGAGTCAGTTGAAGCTAGACCACCATGGAAAACCTGGAAGCACTAGGCGGCCGTTTCGTCCTAGTATGGGACTCCTCAGCAGTGCGGTGGTGGTCTAGCTTCAACTGACTCATGATTTCAATCTGTGAAAATTTCGAAAATCTCCACAAACCCCTTCTGATAGTTGACGTAAGTTGGGAAAAGCCAAACGAGCTTTTCGAATCCGTGCATAGATCTCGTCAGACACCAACCCATTAGGGCTGATCAGACTTTCAAGATAAGTGAAGTTGTCAACGCGTTTAACTACTTCACTCCCATCAATGATCTACGGAAATATACGTGCTCGTATTAGATCATGGTTAGAGTCTAAACATGTATTCCAGAACAAGCGGCAGTCTTCTCCTAAGCCTCTCCAACGATGACTGACGGCTGGTTTGATGCAGAGGGTCGCCATGTTAGACGATATCTCTCTTTACTCTTAAAATTAGTGCTCGTTAGAAATAAACGATTGTCTGAGCACAGTTGTAGCAGACGCTCACCATTATCTGTTTGCTGAGCCAGAATACCATACCAGCACATAGATGACGGTTAACAGGAATCTATTCTAATAGTGCCTGTTCTGCCGTCATAGTTAGTGCTATGCCTACACCCACTAGTCCACGATAACTAGTCATCGGGACGCCAGATAAATGGAGGGTGTATCTCGTCGGTTCTCCGTTTTGTCTAGATATGGTCAAATGAAGGAATAGACAAGGATCCTGTATGTGTGTTTTGAAGACATAACATA